AAAGGGACCCCGCAAGAGAAAGGGCAGAGCCTAGGAGGACCCCGTAATGGGGGTACCAGTCCTGCTTGAAAGTGGGCTGATGGAAGGGCACTGGCAGATGTGAGGCCCCCAGCCACCCTGGTCTTCCTTAGGTGATGAGCTGGCGGTGGTGGGGAAAAGTACCCTCCCTGGACCCTCTCCCTCTCCCTCCCACCTCCGACTGGCAGCTGCAGTGTGTGGGGCTAGGCCCCCATGTTAAAGGACCATGAAGGCTATGGCCTGCCACCTCTGCACCTGACCTGTATTGCTCCCAGCCCTGGCCACCTACTCCCTTCAGTCCCTACTCACAGGGACTTGGGCTCAACCCAAGAGGTCCCTGGGCCTTAAGCAGCCTGTTCTGGGCAGGAACCTCAGGCTGGCCCTCGAAGTCCAGGGGCTTCAGAGCTGGGCTTTGTCCCAGCCTTGTTCTCCTAAAGGACTTCTTGTGCCCTGGCTGGTCAGCACAACTCTATGCTTTGAAAACTGGAATGTGATAATCTTTTTTTTTTGCCTGAACTGCCTCACTGTCCATCTCCCCCCGCCATCTACACCCTCAGCTCCACAAGCCCAATCCCCTTCCCAGCACCGTCTTATCTGCAAGGCACTCTGGGGAGATCTGGGGAGCACAGTCAACGGTGTGTCCCAAGTATGAGGACAGCCAGTTCTTCCCCAGCCCTCCTCCCCAGCAGGGCCCTCAGTGAACAGGGTCTTCCCTGGTCAGATGGAGCTGAACAATTGGGGTGTGTCTTTGACATAGAAAGGGCCCTATTCTTGAGCAGTGCCCCAGGCCCATGCGCCCTCTCCCTAGTGCTTTGCAAGTGCCACAGAGCCCTTGGCAGCAATTCTAGCTATTTAGCCCCACTTCCCCTTCACGTGTGACCCAAGCTGGAGGATGGGCAGCTGTAAGGGTGGCTCCTCCCCGCTTTGACGTGATTGGTGGTGGGTAGCAAGTGTCCCCACCACCCAATCAGGGTGCTACTGTGCTGGGCAGGAAGCTTTTGGCCATGCAGCAGGACAGTACTGCCATTGTGAGACCAGAGTGGGGGAAGGGGGCCCTGGGCTCCTGGATGGGGAGAGCTAACAGGGCCTTCCACAAGGCCAGGATGTGGGAACCAGAGAATTTCAGCCACTTACTGCTGTATCCTGGTCCCCTGGTCACACTGGGAGTAGGGTCCTCCTTCCTTCCCTGCTGGACCTTGTGCTCCGTGTCCCTTCCCCTTCTCCAGGACCCTTCCTTTAGCTCCTCTTTCTTCCCTATACTTCCTTCTAGTCCCCTTTGTCCTCCCCAGTGGCCTTCACCTCTCCTTCCAAAACAAGGGTAGTAAGGACAAAGCACCTGTTCCATCTGTCCTGTCTCCTCCCTCTGTGAGGACTCCGGGTGCTGTCCTCTGCTTGTCTCCCCTACTCCTAGAGCCAGGAGGATCAAGGCCAGCCTGGGCTACTTAGGGGACCCTATCTCAAGTTAAAAAAAAGTTGCACATAGCGCTACCATTATTTTACCTAAATTTGCAAATTTAACTGGAGCTTGCTAAGCACTTTTGTGGAAATAAAATGTGTGTTGATTCAGCGCTCGGTGTCCTCAGGTGCTGTGTGAAGCGCAAAGTGGCTGCATGGCTCATGTTCAGACACAAGCATCAGCCTGAGCTGAGGCACTTCCTCCAGAGCGAGACTCCGTTTGGGGGACATGAGGCTGGCGTGGAAGATGCACTCCTGGAGCTAGGGTAGTGTGGCTCCTTTCTAGGTCCCACGGGCGTGGGTGCTCCTGTAGTCTATCTTTTGGGCCTCAGGAAACATGGAGCTGGGGCGGGGAGAGAAGCCTCCTGTGGCCCTCTCCCTCCCAGGTCCTCAGCCCCCTCCCTCCAGTCCTATTTTACCTGTCCTCCTGGGAGCCTAGCTGCCCAGAGACACTGGATCGGCACAACAGGAGAGTCCCCACAGGACGCGAAGAAACCTCCGAGGCACCTGCTGCCTCTTCCCAGCAGTCACCCACCCCAAGCCCTGTGCCCTGTGTCCTCTGGGCTAGCCCAATGGGCAAGTCCTATCTTAACTCTGCTCCAGGGGCCAGGCAGCAGTCCCTTCCTGCTCTGTGTTCTGCAGTTCACCTGGGTGTCCTGGGTCACTGTGGCTGCTGGAAGGAGGACACGGAGAGCTGGGAGGACCAAGCACGGGGCACCTGCCCCACTCCAACCTCCCTGTAGTCAAGGCTACGCCTGGACTTTGAACTCCCAGGAGGAGGGAACTGTCCATCCCATGTCCCTGGGCTGGTGCTTGGGGAATGCTTATCAGCTGAGGCCATAGCTCAAGTGGCAGCACACCTGCCTAGCATTGCTTATCAGAGGAGCGCTGGGAGTGACCCAGGTGGTCAGGCCCTGTCTGAGTCAGGAACAGCTCTGGTCACTTCCAGGCCTAGCTGTGGCTGGGATGATGCCTTGTCCCCTGAACCCCAGCCCAAGTCCCAAGCAGACCCTCCCCATCTGTGAGGAGGAGCACCCTTGCCAGGGGTGGGGGACTTCCCTTCTCTAGCCTCTCTCTGACCCTAGTTTCCTTTCTCAGGCCCAGGCACTCCTCACTTCTCCATCCATGTGGATCCTGACTTTGGCTGGATCTTGGATTGGGGCTGCTAGGGGGTCTCCTCACTCTGTGTCAGAGGCCCCTCCAGATGTCCAGAGCCCCACATTAGCCCGTCTCTGGCCCATGAAATAGGCTTCCTGCTCCCCTGAGCTGGGGTGCAGTCCTCAACTAGCACTGTTCCCACTCCTTCTCACACACCTCCCTGGCAGGGGCACCCAGGTGGTCAGGGTGCCCAGGTGGTCAGGGGTGCCCAGGTGGTCAGGGGCACCCATGTGATCAGGGTGCCCAGGTGGTCAGGGGTGCCCAGGAGGTCAGGGGTGCCCAGGAGGTCAGGGGCGCCCATGTGATCAGGGTGCCCAGGTGGTCAGGGGTGCCCAGGAGGTCAGGGGCACCTATGTGATCAGGGTGCCCAGGAGGTCAGGGGCGCCCAGGAGGTCAGGGGCACCATGTGATCAGGGTGCCCAGGAGATCAGGGGTGCCCAGGAGGTCAGGGGCACCCATGTGGTTAGGGTGCCCAGGTGGTCAGGGGTGCCCAGGAGGTCAGGGGCACCTATGTGATCAGGGTGCCCAGGAGATCAGGGGTGCCCAGGAGGTCAGGACACCCAGGTGGTCAGGGTGCCCAGGTGGTCAGGGGTGCCCAGGTGGTCAGGGACCATGTGATCAGGGTGCCCAGGTGGTCAGGGGTGCCCAGGAGGTCAGGGGCACCATGTGGTTAGGGGCGCCTATGTGATCAGAGGTGGTCTGGCAGTCAGGGGCACCTATGTGATCAGGGTGCCCAGGTGGTCAGGGTGCCCAGGAGGTCAGGGGCACCCATGTGATCAGGGTGCCCAGGAGGTCAGGGGTGCCCAGGTGGTCAGGGGTGCCCAGGAGGTCAGGGTGCCCAGGTGGTCAGGGTGACCAGGAGGTCAGGGGTGCCCAGGAGGTCAGGGTGCCCAGGTGGCAGGGTGCAGGAGGTCAGGGGTGCCAGGAGGTCAGGGGCACCCATGTGATCAGGGTGCCCAGGTGGTCAGGGCACCTATGTGATCAGGGTGCCCAGGAGGTCAGGGGTGCCCAGGAGGTCAGGGGCCCATGTGGTTAGGGTGCCCAGGTGGTCAGGGGTGCCCAGGAGGTCAGGGGCACCTAATGTGATCAGGGTGCCCAGGAGATCAGGGGTGCCCAGGAGGTCAGGAGCACCCAGGTGGTCAGGGTGCCCAGGTGGTCAGGGTGCCCAGGTGGTCAGGGGTGCCCAGGTGGTCAGGGGCACCCATGTGATCAGGGTGCCCAGGTGGTCAGGGTGCCCAGGAGGTCAGGGGCACCCATGTGGTTAGGGGCGCCTATGTGATCAGAGGTGGTCTGGCAGTCAGGGGCACCTATGTGATCAGGGTGCCCAGGTGGTCAGGGTGCCCAGGAGGTCAGGGGCACCCATGTGATCAGGGTGCCCAGGTGGTCAGGGGTGCCCAGGTGGTCAGGGGTGCCCAGGAGGTCAGGGTGCCCAGGTGGTCAGGGTGACCAGGAGGTCAGGGGTGCCCAGGAGGTCAGGGTGCCCAGGTGGTCAGGGTGCCCAGGAGGTCAGGGGTGCCCAGGAGGTCAGGGGCACCCATGTGATCAGGGTGCCCAGGTGGTCAGGGGCACCTATGTGATCAGGGTGCCCAGGAGGTCAGGGGTGCCAGGAGGTCAGGGGCACCCATGTGATCAGGGTGCCCAGGTGGTCAGGGGTGTCCAGGTGGTCAGGGGTGCCCATGTGGTTAGGGTGCCTAGGTGGTCAGGGGTGCCCAGGTGATTGGGGATGCCCAGTTGGTCAGTGTATCTCCCTGGCAGCAGTGTTCAGGTGGTCAGCCCTGCTCCCTATGGCCCTGGCCAGGTAGATTCTAGGACAGTCCAGCCTCGTGTCTTCCTGTGATGGACAGCAGCTCAGCACAGCTGGGAACCATGTCCAGGGATAAGAAGGCGCCCCTTTGCCTGGCCTCCCTGACACCTCTGGCCGTCCCCTGTCTTGAGTCATACGGGCTGCTGGGAATCTGGCTCTTCAGCCTCCAGGAGCAGAGTCAAGGGTCAGCAGAAGCTAAGAGGACCTGCTGGCAGGCTCAAGGAAGGCCATCCTGGACCCCAAGAGGCTGTGAGCAGCAGGCAGCCCAAGGGAAGGACAGAACCACAGAGCAGGGCTCCACTGAAGAGGGGAACTGAGGCCCAGAGCAGGACCCTGGTGCTTCTAGGCAGAGGACAGTTTCTAGCCTAACTCCTGGGGATGGGGGCCTCAAATTGTCAGAGAAACCGGCTGCCTCCCCTTCTCACCCCAGCAGGGGGAGCACCTGTCTAGGTGGACAGAAAGGACACAGGGCTGAGTATGATATTTACTGAGGCTTCCCCAGGTCAACACAGCTCAGAGGGCAGACAGAGGAGACTCTAGAGGGTGTGCTCAGGGTGCTTGGGGGTCACTGAGGAGGGCAGCAGACGTCCATGGTCACAGCTTCTCCTGCCACCAGCCTCACCTCCTCACCTCTGCAGTAGACACAAGAACTCAGCAGGGGCGGGAGAAAGCCCTCACCTGGGTCACTGCAGTCCTGCTCCGCTGCCCACTCACCATTCAGGATGTGGAACTGGTCTGCAGCCTCGCAGAAACCTGGGGACCAGGCAGTGGTCAGGGAGAGGGAGGGCATCAGCTAGGAGGGGGGACCAGGCCAGGGATACTCACCATACTTGGGAAGAATAAGATCTGGTCTTCAGTCAGTTTGGCCCCTGACCCGCTGCTCAAACATATTCAGGACAGAGTCACTCACAGGCAGCGAGCGGGCTAAGGGACAGACAGGGCTCCTGGGGTCCCAGCAGAGGCAGGGTTAGGGTGCTGTCAGGACAGGGTTTTTGTGGGCCCAGGACACAGCCTGGCTAATTGTCTGTGCCTCATCTCTGATCCCACACCAGCCTCTTAGCTTCTCCCTTGGTGCCTGCTCTCAGGCATGCCAGGTTAGGAGGAGGGATAAAGAGGGTCTGTGTGTCCATCTGGACTTGCCCAGTCCCACCAGGATGGCGCCTTGAGCCTGCAGGACTGGAGCTCCTATATGGATACAGGGCCACCACGCACCGTAACAACTTCACCGACAGCTGCCCTGCCCGCTCCAGGTACAGAATAGCGAAGCCCTGGTAGTAGCTGCCCTGCCCGCTCCAGTACAGAATAGCGAAGCCCTGGTAGTCGGTCTCAGTGACGACCACGTGCACGGCCCCGGGCACCTTGGGCTGAGGCAAAACCACGGTGGGCATCATCTCTGGTGCCTGTCTCCAGCCCTGCACCCCTCGCCTGCTGTTGCCACCTCACCTTGGAGTAGGAAGCGGCCGGGGACTCCTGTGTCTCTCTGTAGAGCTGGCGCACCTGCCAGCAGATCCCATCCCCTGGGGGGGGCAGGGACGGGGGAAGAGGAAGGGAGCACCCAGGCTCAGGGATCCCAACCCAGGTAGGGCAACGTGGAATATCCATCCAGGCCAAGGCAGAGGTGGTGGGGGAGGAGAGATGGGGTCAGAAGGCCAGGGTAAAGGCAGGGTCAGGGGCTGGAGTGATGGCGGAGGGTCATGCTGGGACTCACAGCTTGCGGAAGGTGCTGACGACCATGGCTGCTCCCTGGGGAACCACGTGCAGTGCAGTAGCCTCAGCCCTGTGGCCCTGCTCCTGCAGGAAGCGGCAGGCAGAGCCCACAGCCACAAGGAGCCACTTTCCTGAAAACTGGGAGCAGGCCCGGAGGTCCAGGACTCATAGTGGGTGGGGCAGCCTGGCCCACTCTGCAAAGGTGAGCCAATTCCTACCCCGCCATTACCTGGCCGCCACCTGCCCCATCTTTTACCTGCTGAGCGTCAAAACTGGCCTGGGGCTGGATGGTGCTTATGAGGGACCCAGGTCGAGGGGGCTTCCTAGGCCTCTGGCCCAGCGAGCCGGACGCTGTAAGGAGCAGGGTGAAGAGCAGTGCAGCCCAAGGAGGCAGCATGGTGGCAGGGTCAGTGTTGTGACCTGACAGGGAGTCGGAGGGCAGCACTGTCCCAGGTCAGAGTCCACTGTCCAGTGCTACCGGAAGCAACATGAGTCAGGAAATTCACGTTTGTCCCCTGCCTTCCCAAACCTGAGCCAGGCTTCCCAGCCTCCTCAGGAACCTGGCCTGGATGGGACTGGGCACCATGTCCTGGGCACAGAGTCCAAGTTGACCTTTTGACTCCTTGTCCATGTCCCCTGCACCCCTGATTTCCACTGGAGGTCAGTGCTCAACCCGTTGCACACCAACATCTGGCCTTATTCCAACAGCCAACAGCACTGGGCTTGTGGTCACTTACTCAAGGCCCAACGCGCTGAGAGCCGGCAGGGTCTCGAACCCACCGCGCCACCCTGAGTCCAGGTGCACGACTGCCCCTCCCCGCCGCCAGGGGCGCTGTTCCCGGCGAGCCGAGCGCGCGCAGGCGCACGAGGAAGCGCCGCAGGCACGGCCGCGGCCATCGATGCTTCGGGGCTCGTGGCGTCGGGCCTGGCTGCACCATAGAGACGCGGGACCCGGGCCCGAGCGGCGGCGGCGGCGGAAGCGGGTCGGCGCAGCGCAGCGGGCGGAGGCGCCGCGGTGAGTCCCGGCCTCGGCCCCGCGGCGCTCGCCGGCGACCCCGGCCGCTGGCCTTGTGCCCCATCACTGGCCTTGTCCCCCCGCGACCGGCCTTGTCCAACCTTGACCGGCCTTTCCCCGCCCTCACCGGCCTTGTCCACACTTGTCCAGCCGACACTGGCCTTGACTGCCCATCTCTGGCCTTGGCCGGCTGTGGCCAGCCTCGTCCACCTGCCGCACCCAGTGGGTGACTGCAGCCGGACCTTGTCCTGTCATCTGCCCTGCGCATACCCTGAACCCACCCACCCATCCGGGCCTGGCCAGGTTCCCCTGGGCGGAGGCCAAGGGCCAGGCGGGGTCTGTTCTAAAAGGCAGGAAGTCTGTCCCAAGCTGATAGCTCGGGAGCCGTGGGGTGGCCAGGTCAGAGACAGGACTTCCTGGGCGCCACTGGCACTTCACTGCTTGGAGCTGGACCTGCCCCTGGCACCCAGATGTCTTCTGGGGCCTGGAGGCATGGGAGGTCAAAGGGCCCCACCTGGAAGATGTGACCCAGGGGAGGCCCTTTAGGGGTGAGGATGAGCCTGGGGCCCAGGGCACCACTTCCCACTGCAGGTTGCCCCAGGCCCAGCATTGCTGAGAGGTGCCCACCCCCTACCCCAGAGAGTCCCAGGAGTGTCAGGGGCCCCTGGGGGATGCGGGCTGGTGGAACAGCCTGTGAGCCAGCAGTGCGGTAGGAGTCCCAGCTGGTGGGACTGGAGGAACGGCTAGAGGCTTTGGGCTTCTTTGGGCCTGGGCTCAGGGTAGCCGCTGGTGGATTTCAGGGCCGCCTGGGCAGAATGTCACGATGGACGAGGGGGGCGTGCCCCTGCTCCCCGACAGCCTCATCTACCAGATCTTTTTGAGCCTGGGCCCTGCAGATGTGCTGGCTGCTGGGCTGGTGTGCCGTCAGTGGCAAGCAGTGTCCCGTGACGAGTTCCTATGGAGGGAGCAGTTCTACCGCTACTACCAGGTGGCCCGTGATGTGCCCCGTCACCCAGGTCAGCACCTGCACACACCTTGGAGTTGGCTTGGTGGGAGGCAGGGGCTGTCCCGTACCATGTTCTGAGGCCACAGCACAAGGTCCCCACTGCCCAGCCTCATGGTCCTTGAGAATCTGCCCCATACACGGCCACTTCCGTGGGTAGGGGCCTCTGTGAGCACAAGGGTGCACCCTCAGCCCTGGCTCCTGGTGCTTGACTGTGGGGAGGGAGACTTGAGCCCGCAGTGACACTGGCCCCCCCAGCGGCCACGTCCTGGTACGAGGAGTTCCGGCGGCTCATCATGGTGCCCTGCGTGGAGGTGCAGACACTGAGGGACACACTGACCAGGTCTTGCACCTCAGCTTCTCCCACTCGGGATACCAGTTTGCCCTCTGTTCCCAAGGATTGCCCGTGAAGGTGAGGACGCTCTTACCATCAGCCCAACTTGGTGGGAAGAGAGGGTGGAGATGAAGACCGTTGGTCTTCCTGTGTCCAGTGGAGAGGGTCAGGTGGGAAGCAGATACTTTAGCTGGCACCTGGAGGCCTGGCCTGGACCACCCAAACCCAAAGCTAGGGAGGATGGCCTTAACTGCCCAAAGAGGAGGGTCCCACTTGCAGCTGCGGCTCCAGGAACTGGCCCCCATGCTGGTGAGATGGGGGCTGGAAGGAGCCCCTGCCCCCTAGTGACTGTGGGCAACCTCAGTGGAGAAGGCCAGGACTTCCTGTATTGTGGGGGCCTCAGGAGACCGTGCCACAAGGCCTGGCCAGGCGGTCAGCACTGGCTCCTCTGGCACAGATTTTGGAACAACGACCTGGGCATCTCGACTGATGCACAGCGCAGATATGCGGCCCTACAACTGGAGCTACACCCAGTTCTCCCAGTTCAACCAGGATGACTCACTGCTGCTGGCCTCGGGAGTCTTCCTGGGGCCTCACAACTCCTCCTCGGGCGAGATTGCTGTCATCAGCCTAGGTGAGCGCGGGCCTCGGGCTGGCCACCCCACCGTGCCCTGCGGCAGCCTGCCCAGCCCTGGCCTCCCCCAGACTCCTTCGCTCTGCTGTCCCGTGTACGCAACAAGCCCTATGACGTGTTTTGGCTGTTGGCTTACGGAAACCAGTCTCATCTCGGGGAACCTGCACCGTATTGGCGATGTCCCACCTCCTGCTGCAGTGCTGTGGCTTGAACAATGCCTTCCAGGTACGGACAGTGGGGGCAGGATGGGACGGGGAGGGGAGGTGTGGGCAGATGGGGTGGGCCAGCTCCCTAGGCCTGGGCACTGGCCGGCGCCCACCTGCTCTGGGCCTGCCGGCTTGTGCCCGCCCAGGACGTGGAGTCAGAGAATGTCAACGTGGTGAAGCGGCTCTTCAAGATCCAGAATCTCAACGCCAGCACCATCCGGACAGTGATGGTGGCCGACTGCAGCCGCTTTGACAGCCCTGACCTCCTGCTGGATGCAGGTGACCAGGCTGCGCCCCCCTGCCGTGTCTTTGATCTGGGCGGGGACAGTGAGGAAGAGGTGCCTGACCCAGCTTTGCGCACCCCTGGCCCTGGCCGTGCCAAGGAAGGCTTGCGACACACACTGGACGGAATCCTGGATGGGCGTGTGCCGCTGTCGGAGCGCATGCTGGAGACCAGGGTGGCTGAGCTGCTGGCCCAGGGCCACACCAAGCCCCCCGAGCGCAGCACCGCCGACGCCAGGAATAAGTACCTCATCTTCACCACTGGCTGCCTCACCTACTCGCCACACCAGATCGGTAACGCAGGGGGCCCCTACTCAGGAGGGAATGTAACACTGCTGCAGTGCTGCCCGGGCCGCCTCAGTCCCCGGTGCTTTGGTGGGGCTGAACAGTGAGTCCACAGGCAAAGTGTGGACCATCCATTTGCTCCTGGCCCTGGTGCACTTAGTTCTGTAGGCAGGCCACTGGCCAGTGAGTGACCATGTGGCCACCTACGGTTCAGATCTGGGGCCCCCAGAATAGGCAGTGCCCATGGAGTCCTGAGGTGCCCTCAGGGTGGGGGGCTGTCCTGAAGGTGACATCCCTGACAGGCTCCGACAGGCCTCCACCTTGGCCTCTCTGCAGGCATCAAGCAGATCCTGCCGCACCAGATGACGACGGCAGGGCCGGTGCTGGGCGAGGGCCGGGGCTCCGATGCCTTCTTTGATGCCCTAGACCACGTCATTGATGTTCACGGGCATATCATCGGCATGGGCCTGTCCCCTGACAACAGGTGGGCCCCAGTGTTCTGGGTGGGACGCCCACAGGTGGCCCTGTACCTCGAAGCAGTCCACACTGAACGCCTGCCCCTTGTTCAGGTACCTGTACGTGAACAGCCGCGCCTGGCCCCCTGGCTCAGTGGTGGCTGACCCCATGCAGCCACCGCCCATCGCGGAGGAGATTGACCTGCTGGTGTTTGACCTCAAGACCATGCGGGAGGTGAAGCGGGCCCTGAGAGCACACCGCGCCTACACCCCCAACGATGAGTGCTTCTTCATCTTCCTGGATGTCAGCAGGGACTTTGTGGCCAGGTGTGGGCGTGGGTGGGCCTCAGGGTTTGGGCTGGGGCTGTAGCAGGTGGGCAGTGGGCTCATCCAGGCACTGTCCTGCAGTGGGGCTGAGGACCGGCACGGCTACATCTGGGACGCCACTACAATATCTGCCTCGCTAAGCTGCGGCACGAGGATGTGGTCAACTCGGTGGTCTTCAGCCCCCAGGAGCAGGAGCTCCTGCTGACAGCCAGCGATGACGCTACCATCAAAGCCTGGCGCTCACCGCGCACCGTGCGTGTCCTCCAGGCCCCCGCCCACGCCGCGCCCCTTCTTCTCCTGGTTTGCCAGCCATAGGCGTTGAAGGCACTGGTGCCTTGAGCTGCTGGGACCCACTGGGGACAGTAATACCCTGTGGTTCTTTCCTGAGCTGGGGGAGATGCTCGTAGCAGTAATGCCTTAGGAAGGGGTTGGCCTGACCCCAACACGCTCGCTCATGCAACCTGCTCACTCAGCACTAGGGTGGCTGCCATGGGTGGCATCAGGGACCCCGTATCGGCCTCTTGGCCAGCTTGGGGTACACAGGACACTGGAGGCTCTGCTTCTCACCTATCCCTTCCCCTGGGCTGGAGGCTCGCACAGCCTGAGCTGGCCTCTACCTGGGTACTTGCTTGGGATAGTCACCACAACCCACACCCTCGGGGCCCTCTGGGGCCCTGGAGGTGGCCCATTGGTTGCTGAGGCTCCTGCCTCTGGTGACATGGTTTGTGCACCAGTGGCACAGGTCAGCCTCCTGTGGGCCCATGTGTGCTGCATGTGCACTTGTCACCTGGTTGGGGCCCTGAATAAACAGCTGGCAACAGCCCCCAGTCATCCAGTCTCTGTCTGTAGGGAGGGGGCCTAGGCACAGGTTGGCTGATCTGCCTGGTGGTGTCTACCTTGGGGCTCTCCTGAAGGGACAGAAGGCCAAAGTGGAAGTGCTGATGCAGGTGTGTGTCCTTCTGACCTCTGGGAGGCCTGTGCACATCTGCCATGTCATGTGCTTATGGCCACAAGGAGGCAGAGGGACACAGAGTCCTGTCCAGGGTCTTGAAGGCCCAGATGGTACAGGGGCAGGCTCGTCCTAAGAGAATTCCCTGGCTGCTGGGTAGGAAGGGGAGGTGGGCAGAGCTCTGAGGGGTCTAGACAGGTGAGGACCTGGGATATAGAAGGGCAGTTCTCCTTACCTGCCTCATCAACTAGGGTCTCCTGATGAAGGTGCAATGGGGAAGAGGAAGTTTTGGTTACCTAGGGTAACCATGGTGTGGGCAATGGGCTGGGTGAGCAACTGGCTACACTGAGAGCTCATGTTAAGCTTCCCTGGGACCTATAGAAAATAGGGAAAAATGACATCAAGGGTACTGAATGAATGAGGAAAGTGCTCTTCCTGGCTAGAGACCACAAATGAGCAGAGGCTGCCTGGGGTCCTCTTGGGGTGGGAGCCATACTGACTGCAAGGAGAACGGAGGGCAGGGCTCCTGGCACAGACAGGGAAGCCGGGCCTGGCTGAGAATACAGGTGGATGAGGGAGGAGATGCAGTGAGCGTTCATCAGCATGGGCTGCTCTATGTGAGGGCCAGAAGCTGCTCCACTAGCCAGGGGGTCATGGCGATGAATCACACCACTGGAGGACAGAGACAGAAGAAAAACACGATAACACAGCAGCCAGGACTGAAAACCACTCCACAGGGGGCCGGGGTGTGGCTCAGGTGGAACACCTGCCTAGCACTGGAGGGCCGGGGTTCCAACCCGGCACCACCACAACAAAGACCACGCTACACAGAATGAGCCTCCTGCCATAGAGAGTAGGTTACCCAAGTTCCACACGCACAAATACGCCTCAAAGAAGCTGCAAAACTTGAGCAGCTTCCTGGGAAGGACTTAAGATTTGTCTGACTTTAAAAAGCAAACAGCAACATCCAAAAAAAGTTTTAAATGCCTTCTAGAACAAAACAGGCAGAAATCAAGAAGGTTTAGAAATTTAAAAAGGAACTGAGAAAACAGCAGGTAGAGTAATTGAAACTACAGGTCTGATCCACGAAAAGGGGCGGCGCTCACCTGGTGTGAAGATGTGAAAGCAGCAGAGAAAGACGATCCTCAGCATCACAGGGAAAAGAAGTCAGGTGAAGAGGTGGGGTGAGAAAAATGGCTGACTACAGAAAGACATCCTCAGAGAACATGCTGAGCTGAGCTCAGAATGAGAAAAGTCACCTCACAAGGACACAGAGCAACCTTAGAACCCTGGGAGAGGGTTAAGAGAAAGCAGGTAGGTAAGGTCCCACTCCGGATGCAGCTGTAAAACCTGAACCCTTGCAGGAACCCGAGTACTCCACGCATTGTGCATGGCAGGAAGCAGCCTCACAGTGGCACCAGTTACCCATGAATGCCAAGTCGGTATTCATGCCTGACTTGATGCAGCCGGACCCCTGGAAGGGTGCATCCCTAAGGACTGGGAGGGGCAGCTGTGGTGCTGGATGTGGAAATCCCCTGATTTTTCTGAGTTCTTTGTGCCCTGGTGGTAGTGGGCATAGTAGCTTTAGGAGCCCATAAAAGCCAACTTGGCTTGGAGTCGTTCGTCCATGTTGCTATGCAGCCTTGCTTCCAGGAAGTAGACCCCCTGACACACATACACACCTTGCCCGGTTAGTTTTCTCCCTCTGTCCTCTTGCCACACAGACCCCATCATGGCCCAATTAAGGAAGAGCATGACAGACCTGGGTGATCAGTCCCCAGACATCTGGCTGAAGGACCAATGGGGAGTACAAGAAGGGAGCTCACGAAAGCAGCCCAATAAAAGTAGTTCCTGAACACAAGGCTGACCTCCAAACTGCTGATGCAGGTTGGTTGTACCCCAAACAACCAGTAGGCCAGCCCAGGGAGCTGTAGGGGCAATGGGACTGGGGTTGGCCCTAAACAAGAGCTGCTAAACAAAAAACAGCACTTCCCAGAGAACTCAGTAGAGCCAGAGCTCACTCAGCAAGGTTCAGAATGTCCCGAAGACAATCAGAATTACTTGACACATGAACCATGAAAACATCAACTTGCAAGGGAAAAAAATGCCAGGTACCAAGAATGAGAAGACCCCATGATGAAATTATCCAACAGACTACAAAGCAGTCTTTGTTATAAAAATGCTTGACCAATAATCACATTTTGCAATGGATGCGAAGCATAAAATAATCACAAAAAAAGACACAGAAGTACCAAATGCAAATGGTAGAATTTAAAAGCAACACAATAAAAATTTAAATAACTAAACTAACAAAATTCCAAATAACCAAAATCTACCGAGTACATCCAGACTCAGTAGCTGAAGAGATCAGAGGGCAATGAATCTGACAAGATCAGTTGATTGGTTTTGTTTGGTTTTGGTGGGACTGGGGTTTGAACTCAGGGCTTCAGGCCTGCAAAGCAGGCGCTCTACAACTTAAGCCACACTTCCAGTCCATTTTGGTCTCGTCATTTTGAAGATGGGGTCTCTTTTGCGTCTCGTCATTTTGAAGATGGGGTCTCACAAACGGTTTGCCCGTACCGGTCTCAAACTGTGATCCTCCCCATCTCTGCCTCCTTAGTAGCTAGGATCACAGACACCTGTGAGCCACAGGTGCCTGGCTGACTGGATCAATTGAGATAACTCAATCGGAACAAGAAGAGGGAAAAAAATGATCAATCCAGAACCTCCTGTGAGATGGTAGCCAGAGGTTCAGCATTTGTATCACTGGAAACCCAAAGAGACAAGAAAGTGATTTGCAAAAATAATGGCCTAAAAACTTTCCAGAAAGTATAAACATGTACATCTAACAGGCCAAGCAAACCCAGAACAGAATAAACCCAAAGAAATCTACCCTGGATCACATAAAAATCAAACTGCTGAAAACCACATACAAAGAAAAACGAACCTGTTGGGTATGGTGGTTCACACCTGTAATCTCAGCTACTCAGGAGGCACAGGTAGGAAGGTCATGGCCTGAGGCTGATAACTCAATCGGAACAAGAAGAGGAAAAAAAATGATCAATCCAAACCTCCTGTGAGATGTACCAGAGGTTCAGCATTTGTATCACGGAAACCCAAAGACAAGAAATGATTGCAAAATAATGGCCTAAAAACTTTCCAGAAAGTTAAAATGTACATTAACAGGCAAGCAAACCCAGAACAGAATAAACCCAAAGAAATCTACCCTGGATCACATAAAATCAAACTGCTGAAAACCACATACAAAGAAAAACGAACCTGTTGGGTATGGTGGTTCACACCTGTAATCTCAGCACTTCAGGAGCACAGTAGGAAGGTCATGGCCTGCTGGCATGTGCAAAGTTAACTTGAGACCCTACCTGAAAAACAAAGGATGTAGCTCAAGTTGTAGACAGCGTTTGTGAACCTGAGTTCAATCCCCAGGCCACCAAAAAAAGTACTGGAGACCCAATGCCTGGCTCCAGAGCAACTGCAACTGCAGGTTTTGTGTTAGGTCCACAGGAAGTCAGTAGCACAAACTCTAAACTGCTGAGGGAGAAGCAGCTTCAACCTGAATTGTATCTCCAGGGGAAATGTCTGTCATGAATAAAGTAAGTAATCCTCAGATGAAAGAAACTAAGAGCCTTGCACCTGTGTGCAAGAAGCGACAGTGCAGGCCTGAGACCAGGTATGCAAATGAAGACTGTCTTCCTCACAAGCTCAGGGAAAGATCTGACAGTTGAGAGACACTGATAACACTGCTCAGTGGTTTCCAGTAATGCAGATTGGTGTGTGTGGGGCACTATGGGGCATTCCGGTTAAAGCCAATAACCTCATATAGACAGTGAAAACTCAGTATGTGTTTTTTTGGATCCTTGGAGCATTCAAACCACTATACAAAGTGAAACAGTTAAAATCCTAAAAGTAAAATAAAAAATTTTAAAATGCTGGGTGCCTGTGGCTCACGCCTGTAATCCCAGCTACTCAGGTGGTAGAGATCAGGAGAATCACGGTTCCAAGCCAGCCCTGTGCAGACAGTCCATGAGACCCTACCTTGAAAACACCCAACACAAAAAGGCTGGTGATGGCTCAAGTGATGAGTGACCTACCTAGCAAGCATAAGGCCTGGAGTTCAAACCCCAGTACTGCTACCAAAAAAAAAAAAAAAAAAAAGTTCAAGTAGCTGTGTCATATTTTTTGACAGGAAACGAAAGAATAAAACCAGAGAATTCCCAGGCATGGTGGCATCCAACTGTACACCCAGCTACTTGGGAGCAGAGATCAGGAGGTTCACAGTGAGGCCAGAGGCAAAAAATTGCAAGACTGCATCCAAACTGATAAGCCAGGCATGGGGAGCACATCTGTGATTCTAGCTATGCCAGAAGCTGTAGTAGGAGGGTTGCTATCTGAGGCCAGCCCTGGGCAAAAACTAGAGACTCTGTCCAAAAAACAACTAAAACAAAAGGGCTGGTGTGGGTCAAGTGGTAGAGGACCTGCCTAGCAAGTACAAGGATCTGGGTTCAAACCCCAGTACCACCAAGGAAAAAACAAAAACAGAAACCAGTGAAAAATAGCAAATGCCTATCAATAAATCACAATATGGTCAAAATGAAACTTTTTTTTTTTCTCTTTTGAGACAGGGTCTTGCATTAGCCCAGGCTGGCCTTGAAGTAGAGGCAAACCTTCCAGAGTGCTGGGATTATAGAAATGTATGACCATGCCTGGCTCTAAATGAATCTTTCTTTTGGAGAGATGTCAAAGTGAATTGTAAACAAAAATGGTGACCCAACCATGCAAGGCTGCAGGGGCCCCACAAGTGCACTAGGGCAGAATGGAGAAGCGTCACCTCAGAATCGGCAATCCCAGATGCAGGGCTGCTGCTCAGCACAAAGGAACATTCCCAATCCTTTTATTAAGGCCAGCACAGCCCTGTGTCTTAGTCCCTTTCGTTGACAGAGACCACACAAACAAGTTCTGGAGGCTTCAAGTCCAAGATCAAAGTGCTGCAGACTTGGTGTCTGGTGAGAGCTGCTTCCTGGTTCATGAGGGGCCATCTTTTTGCTGGACCTCACAATAGTGGAAGGGATGTATGCACTTTAGGGCCAAGGGCACTAAGCGCTCCACCTTCATGAGCTGATCACCCTCAGACACTATCATATTGGGGAATATATTTCAACACAGGAATTTTTGGGGAGACACATACATTCACTCTTGCAACAGTCCTTTATTTATTTATAAATTTTCTTTTTGGTGATACTGGGGTTTAAACTCAGGGCCTCATGCTTGCTAGGCAGTAGTGCTATCACTTGAGCCACTCAACCAGCCCATAATAGTCTATTTTTGCTGCTATAATGTAATACCTGAGACTGGGTAATTTATAATAGGTAGAAATTTATTGGCTCACAGTTGTGGAGGCAGGGAAGTCCAAGATCAAGGGGTCTGTGCATTGCTGATTGATGGAAAGGCAAGAGAGAGTAGAACTTGCCTTTTTATAATGGCACCAAGTCCACCTGTAAGGGCAGCACCTTTGTACCTTAATCACCCTTAAGGTCCCCTCACCTTTTTTTTTCTGGTGATACTGGGGTTCAAACTCAGGATCTTGCACTTTCTAGGCAGGCGCTCTACCACTTGAGCCATCCACCAGTCCCCACTTCTTAACACTGTTAAAATGGCAATTAGATTTTAACCAGTTTTAGAGACAATAAACACACAAGCAACAGCATTCGGTCTCTGTAGCCACAACTCATAGCCTCCTCTACAAAACGCATTCATTTCACCCCATCAGCCCCTGGATCTTAACTCCTTCCAACACAGGTTCACAGGTTCCCAAGGCCAGAGTCTTGTCCAAATCAGTTACAGGGGAGACTCAAGGCACATTCCCAGCAGACAAATGCCCCTGCACCTGAGAGCCTGGGATTAAACAAGTGATGTGCTTCAATAATACTACAGTAGGTAGGCATAGGATAGATCTTTTCATTCTAGAGGGGAAAATGGGCAACATAGAAGTAACAGCCCCGATCAAGTCCAAAAACCTATAGGGCAAACCCTGTGAAACTCTGAAGCTGGAAAATAACCTTTGACTCCTCATTCTGTCTTCCAGACATGGGGGACTCAGGAGGCCTGCCCCTATGACTTTGCTGGGCTCAGTTCCCACAGTGGCTCAGTTTGAGTCTGGTGCATGCAGCAATCCCAGGCAGGTGTACACTGGTGCCTCTAACAGTTCTGGGGCTTGTCCGGGGGGAGGGGGGGTGGGGGAGGAGTTAGCCCGGCTCCATGGCTCCACTAGCACTGCCCTAGTGGTCACTCTCTTTGGTGGCTTTGCCCATTGATGTCTACCATCTCTACTGCCTACTACATCCTTTGACATCCAGATGAGGCCACCATGGCCCAGCTTGTGCATCCTATGCACTCAGAAACTAGCACTATGTGGACGCTACACTGTCAAAAGCTTATACTTTCTGGAGCAGTCACATCTGTACTCAACTGAGCCACAGCTTGGGGGTGAGGGGTGCTGTGTTAGAATGTGGGAAGCAGAGACTTAAGGTGGCCTTGGCAGTCAAACTCAAGGTCCCTAGGGTACCCCAGGGTTCTCAAGTGAAGTATTTCCTTCCCTTGGGCCTTGTAGGCTGGCCTGTAGTAGCAGGGGCAACCACTCTCCCTCCTGATGGGTAGCCTCACTTCATCTGTCCATATGGGCACTTGCCACACCTTGGATTCCTCTCCTGAAAGCGCCTGTTGATTTCCTATCTTAACTCCGCAGAAAAACTTGCCACTCTGTAACAGGGCTAGGCCTCTTCTGGTTTCCAGCACCGTGTTCTGCACTTGTGTCTGAAGCCTGGTCAGAATGGCCTCTGCTGTCATATTTCTACCAACATTCTGCCCAGTGATGAATTCCAGACGTTCCCTAGGGTTTTGTTCAGGGCCCTTACCAGAGTCAGCCTAAGAACCCATTGATGGCTGGTTTCTTCAGAGCTCTCCCAGCTCCACCCTCATTACCCAACTCCAAAGCTACTTCCATACTTCCTGGTATTTGTTATGTAAAACCTCATTTCTGGTACTACTTCTGTCTATAGCCTTGACATGAAAACCAGATAAAGACAATATAGTGTTCTCTCATCACCAAGGGTATGTTCCAAGACCTCCAGTGGATGCCTGAAAACCACAGATGATACCTAAGCCATTTTACCATGTTTTTCCCTGTACATAAGCCCTATGATAAAGCTTAATTTATGAGTGAGGTACAGTAAGGGTGAAAGATAAGATACAGACTGGGAAAGAAAACCTGTAAATTGTTTATCCAACAAGGAACCTGTATCCAGAATTTAAGCCCAGGAGTTCAAGATCGCCTGGAACAAGTGAGCCCTGTCGGGGGGGGGGGGGGGCGGGGAAAACAACAAAAAAAAGACATCTGAAGCCTGTGAGTTCAGCACACGAGGCCCTGAGGACAGAACTCTCAAATGGTGTTTTCTCAAGACTAGCAACACAATAGGGTGCAGGACACAAAGAACAATTGTGAGCAAAGAATACCCCAAGAGACAAAGAGTGGCCTGTAATCCTATCTACTCAGGAGGCAGAGATCAAGAGGATCGTGGTTCAAAGCCAATTGGGCAAATAGTTTGCAAGACCCCTAAAATCCTATGTAACATGGAAGATAAGGAGAAGATCAATAAGGGTATAAATTAAAAATCGCTTCCTGACACAATGTGAAGTGGTGCAGCCATTAAGAAAGAGTCTGCCTACTGCTTCACAGACAGGCTGACCTCAGACTTGCAGTCCTCCTGCCTGCCTCCTCAATGCTGGAATTATAGGCATGCACCACCACACCCAGCTGAGTTTGGCAGCAAAATCTACAACCCAGTAGCTCTGCTCTCAGACAGTGACACTTGAGAAATGAAAACACACGTCCACATGAAAACGGAAGCAAATGCTCACAAAAGCACTTTCATGATGGCAGTAAGTGCAACAGCCCAAATGTCCATCAGGGGACAATCAACAGAGCATGGAACATTATCCAGTCACACATGGAACAACACAGATGAACCTTGAAACGCCACGCCAAGAGACAAAAGCCAGATACATAATGCTTCTATTTATATGACTGCCCAGGACAGGCTCCCATGGGCTGAGGAAGGGGTAGAGTGGGGTAATGAAACACCCTAAAGATCAGCGATGATGATGATTCTATAAAATCTGCAAACTCCCAGGGTGTGAGTGGAGGTGATGGACAGTAGGGTCATGCATACGGGATCTTCTTGGAAGACCCAATCTCTCCCCTGGGTCGGTCTTCACCTAGCAGCCAGCAGGAGCAGTTCCAGTTGCAGATCCCTCCTCTCCTCAGCTGGCACCTGACCTCTACACAGCACTGGGTAAGAGGCAGTTCTGAAATGTTATCATTCGCTGGTAAATGGATGGAACTGGAGAACATCATTCTGAGTGAGGTTAGCCTGGCCTAAAAGACCAAAAATCGTATGTTCTCCCTCATATGCGGACATTAGATCAAGGGCAAACACAACAAGGGGATTGGACTTTGAGCACATGATAAAAGCGAGAGCACACAAGGGAGGGGTGAGGATAGGTAAGACACCTAAAAAACTAGCTAGCATTTTGCCCTCAATGCAGAGAAACTAAAGCAGATACCTTAAAGCAACTGAGGCCAATAGGAAAAGGGGAACAGGTACTACAGAAAAGGTTAGATCAAAAAGAATTAACCTAGAAGGTAACACCCACGCACGGGAAATCAATGTGAGTCAACTCCCTGTATAGCTATCCTTATCTCAACCAGCAAAAACACTTGTTCCTTCCTATTATAGCTTATACTCTCTCTACAACAAAATTAGAAATAAGGGCAAAATAGTTTCTGCTGGGTATTGAGGGGGTAGTGGGGGAGGAGGGGGCGGAGTAGGTGGTAAGGGAGGGGGTGGGGGCAGGGGGGAGAAATGACCCAAGCCTTGTATGCACATATGAATAATAAAAAAAAAAAAAAAAAAAAAAAAGAGGCAGTTCTGAACTTTCCACTGCATTCTCCAGACCTGCCTCCCCATGTAGCCATGAGATTAGAAGGCCACCTGCCTCACTGGACAGCAAAGAGGGACCTGCAAAGGCGGCTGCTCAGCAGTCAGTGATCAGCTCCCAGGGGCCTAACAGGTAGACAACGCCACTGTCCTCACCCTCGTCTGCTTAGTGACCACTCCCTGACACACTTGCCACCTCTCAGAACAGACTCGAATTCTGTGTGTCTTCCTCCCTGACTTTGTCCCTGTGGGGGATGAGCACCTCTCATTTCACATTTCCTTGTGTGTGTATGTGCTAGGCATGGAACTCAGGGCCGTGTGTATAAGCATGCTCTGCTACTGACATACACTACAATCCTAACCCCCTCCATTTCCTTTTAAGGAAAATGGAGGAAAGAAAATGACCTCAATATTTTACCAGCTTCAACGTGAATTACCTGAATTATAGTAAAAAATACACGTCATATATAAACAAATTCCCAAATACAGATACCTACTACATTGAAAACAAAAGTTTAAAACCATTATATAGCTGATCATATCTCAGTTTTAAATTGTTCTACACTGACAACACACACACAGACACAGCCAAGGACTATAATCAAGATTAGGAGCTCTACCGCAGGAAAGGAAACAAAGTCCAACATCCCAGCAGAAAAAAGGACAAAGACATAAATGGCAATTCCCACAGGAGAGATCCTGAATGAGCAATAAACCTGATAGAGAAGCCCAATCCCTTGTGTCCTCAGGGAGATGATCCAGAGGGTCACAACAATGGACCATTTCACAAACAGCACCTGTGAAACCTGGGTGAAGCCCCTCAATGTGAAATGCCACAGATATGAGGTCTTGATACACCTGCCCATATGCTGCGAAGGCCTCAGGCACAGCCCTCTGAAGAGCAGGTCAGAAACAGCTAAGAAGGGGGGAGTCTGATCCTCTCCTTCCAGGTCAACAGAAAACAGGTAGACCTATGTTTTTGTGTTCAGTTCAACTGAAAGACAGGGATCCAAGAGAATGAAACAACATACCTCTAGCAGTATGTCACAAAGCAGTAGGAAGCCCAGCACATGGGGAGTTTAAAACAGGTGAGAAATCAGCCATCTGCCATGGTTCCATGCATGACTTTTAAACGCAGCACTCACTTGTGGACACAGAAACACACATAGACCAAGTTTAAACCCCAGGTAGAAGAGGGGTGAATGCTGGCATAAAAAAAGCATCTCCTGCTTAGTCTCAGCACACACAGAGTGATCAGGATGGTGCTCAGCCCTGGTGCTTGTCCTCTCTGCGCTTCCTACTGTGGCGAATCCTCAAAACACCCAAACTGGGGTGAGGGAGGTCCGACCTCCTCCTGACTCTTTAATACACATACCCTGTCCCACTCCTCAGTTGGGAGAGCAAACTGGGCCAGGACCCTGAAGCAAGCCCCCTACACACAGACAGGACAAAGGGCCAGCTCTTCATCCCACTATAGGTGGGCACAGAATGGGGTGGTCACATGTGGCTTTGCTGTCTTGGGAGCACTTGGGAAGCTCACAGTGTATAAGGAACATAGAAGGCCTGAGGTAAGAAAGAAGTCAGGAGGCCCCAGAGGGTCAGCACTGTTTAGGCTGGAAGCCACAGGCAAACTGGAGCCAGATACACTACTCACCACAGATATCTCAATGGTTTAATGATTTCTCCTCAGCCTGACGGTGCAGTTAACACAGGCCACTGGGCTGGGTGCCCAGCCTGGACCAGGTGGCACAGGCAGCCTCCTGTCCAGCAAGCACCTGGGACTCAGAATGCCCCCTTCTCTCCAGGGCTACATTCTGTAGGTGGAGCAGACCCCACTTTCTTCCCACAGGCCTCATAGAAGGGCACGAGGCTGCTCCACCACACTCTGGCTGCACGGAAGGCTCTGAAGCCCTCCTGAGAGCAGTTTCCCTCCAAGTGCTACACCCAGGGGCCCGTCCCACCCTGCACAGAATAGACAGTGAGGACAGTTCTGCTGGGAAGCAGAGATGAGTCCCAGCTGGTCCCACTAGGGCCCTGGGCTGAATCATCCCGAGCCCTCCAGACAGTCTCTTCCAGCTGAGAACAAGCTGGCAGCTCCCTCTCGGTGTACATGGCTGCAGGTCAAGGCCCTCCCGGGTGCCCATACCCAGCCTGCCCATCCTGATGTGGCAGGGCCCTGGCCTAGGGTGGGGCTCTTCACTGAGCTGCTGTTCCCAGCAGGGGTGGCTAGAGCCCTGTCAAGTCCACAATGGCCTTGATAAAGATGGCGTCATCCCGCACATAGGAATTCTTGGCCTCCATCTTGGACACAGGGCAGAAGAGGGGACAACCACTGGCAATGTTCATGTCGTTGACAGGCCTCTGGAAGGAGGATGAGGTCACATCAGGTCTGAAGGCATCAATCACGTGCTCCCGGTTGTTCTGGTCAAGCAGCATTAATGTCACCTGTGAGGAGGTAGACCAGGGAGGGGACCACATGCCATGAGTCATCTAAGGAGCCCACATGTAGCCCCACCCCATGCTGTCTCCTGAGGACCTGACATCTGAGAGCCCCCAGCAAGAAGCCACATATTTCCACAGCAGAGCAGCTGGCACATCGGCCAGTGTTTTCAGTTACTAAACCTCAGCGCTGCTGCATGTGTACACAGTGTTATCTGGCATATTCTCATCAAGCAGATCATGAAGCATGCTCTACCCAGCTTGGAGGAAAGATGGCTTGGTTAGAACCCGTTGCCCTGCCTTGCCTTCTGCACCAGCTGTGGATGCAGGGCTGAACCTGAGTCGTGAAGGGAAGGGACTGTCCTCATTTCAACCTGGTGCCTAGAGCTTCAATTCCTCAATCAAGGCAGGCCCTGGTTTTCAATACTCAAGTCACATGCTGGTGTGGCTTGGTGGCTGTGGCCTTCCCTTGGAGCATGTTTCTCCAGGCTTTCAAATGCTGGTCCTGCTGGGTCAAGAAGCCAATCTCATCATGACTAACACTCAGAAACTACTGCAGTGCTCCACTATAGCACCACCACCTGACATGCCTGGGGTGCACACCCCTGCCCTGGACAAGCTGGCCACATGGAAGCTGTACCCTTCCAGGGGCTACCAGGGGACAACTCTCATACCTTCTGATTGAAGGGCCATCGTAGGAGGGCATCATTGGGGCCTTTCATCACCACAAAAAAGAGAGACAGATGTGTTCCCCGACCGGTACCGTCGCCATTCAGGTAGACACGCAGACACATCTTGTAGCCATACCTGCTTGTATAGAAGGCTGGGGAAGTGGGAGAGGGTGGATAAAGGCAGGCCAGGGTGCAGCTCTTCCCACCCACAGCCCACCCTCCTGAAATACAGGAAGAAACATTCAGCTTCTGGGACACAAGAGGTTTTCTCCAACTGTGCACTTAGTTACTAATGAAAACAATCCTTTTTTTTTAAAAACAATTCTTAAAAGTAATGATTAAAATAATTTTAAGAACACTAAATATAACCCCCAAACTGGCAATGCATGAAACAACCGAGAACCTGGAAGTGTGGGAAGAAAGGTGGGGAAAACTAGCCAACCCCATCCCTCAGCAAAAGTGCAGGAGGCCGCCAGGCCAGGCCAGCCTAACCGCAGCAGAGACCCAGGCCTGATTCAGCAGAGGCACTGCTGGGTGAAAACCAGGACAAGCAAGATGTCCCTATACCAGTAATGAACAGCAGTAATGGGTAACAACTGGAATGTGGATGAGGCTAGTTCAAAACACATGAAACACTATTATGTGCAAACAAAATGTGTGAATGGAGATTGTGAAGGCTAATTCTTTTTTTTTTTTTTTTGGTGGGACTGAGGCTTGAACTCAGGGCTTTTATTTGCAAAGCAGGTGCTCTACTGCTTGAGCCACACCTCCAGTTCATTTTGCTCTGGTTTTTTTGGAGATCGGTCTCACAAACTATTAGCCTCAAGTAGCTAGGATTATTATAGTCTTGAGCCACTGATGCCTGGCTTGTGAAAGCTAATTTTAGTGTCAACCTAACAGGGTTAAGGAATACCTACAAAGCTGGGGAAACAGTATTTTGGGCATGTCTGTGAGGGCATTTCCAGAGGAAACTGGCAGGTGAGTCATGGACTGAGTGGGGAACACCTGACCTCAGTGTTGGTAGATCCAATTGGCTGAGACCTAGAGAAAACAAAATTAGAGGAAAGGTGTGTAGGTCTCTCTCTCCTAGAATGAGGGCACTCCTTCCTGTCCATAGACACCAGACCTCCAGGCTGTCATATCTTTGGACTCCAGGACTTGCACCAGCAACCCCCAGGTTCCAAGGCATATGGATTTGGACTGAGTCTTAGGCATCCAGGGTCTTCAAGCAGATGGCCTGTTATGGCACTCAGCCTCCACAATCATGTTAAGTTAATTCCCCTAACAAATCCCTCTCACGTGTCTGTGAACATAACTGCTAAAGTGAAGATCGGGGTGGGCACCGAGCCAGGGGCTCACACCTGAAATCCTAGCTACTGAGGAGGCAGAGATCAGGAGGATCGTGTTTTGAAGCCAGCTCCTGGCAAATAGTTCACGAGACCCTATCTCGAAAAAAAAAAAAATCACAAAAAAAAGGCTAGTGGAGTGGTTCAAGTGGTAAGAGCACCTGCCTAGCAAGTGTGAGGCCCTGAGTTCAAACCCCAGTGCCGCCAAAAATAAATAAAGTGTAGATCTGGAATATCTCCCAAAGATATTGGTCCTCAATCCATGGCACTGCTGTGAGGTAGTGGAACTTTCTGAGGTGGGACCTAATAGAAGATCCTTCAGTCGTTGGGAACATGCTCTTAAGGTCATAGTGGGACCCTTGGCTCCTTCTTCTCTTTTTGTTGCTTCCTAGCCATGAGGTGAGCAGTTTTGCTCTGCCATATGTTCCTTGCCATGATGGCTGCTACACATCTGCCCAAAACAGCAGACCTCCCAAAATTGTGAGCCACAGGAACTCTTTCCTTGTATCAGAGAGCTAACAGTTTCCAACTGGTTCTGTCCTCAGAAGGAACCTGACCGCTACGGTGACCCTAACAACTTAGCCATGGAAACAGGACTGTCCATGCTTCAGCTGGCCTTCTGGCTTGGAGTCTCTGCAGCATGGCTCCAGGTGCAGTGCTTGAAACCACCTACACTGTTTCCCATAGCCTCCACCTGTTAAATTGCATCACGTATCACCAGCTAAACTGGCCCACCTGCAGAGGGCAGTACTGAGAAGAGAAGCCATCCCTAGTCCAGAGAATGACCCCAGACCCTAGGCTGTCCTAGTCCTAGAGTGTCCCTTGAGTTCTCCCCCCAAAACAAACTGCTGTTTCCAGTTTCAACTTAGAGAAAAACAGGGTGTGTGATTTCTGTTCACTTTGGCCCCTGCTGTATGTACCACACAGAGGAGGACAGAGGTGCTGGATCTCCTGCCTCAGGGCATGGCAAGGCAAACTCAACCAGGAGAGGAAACTCCAACATCTCAGCTTGATCCTAGAACGTACTATTTCAGAGGCAGTTTCCCCAAGTAAACTCCAAAATAACATGCGTCAAGGGAATGTCTTGATGGATGGTGCCCAAGTCTATGAAGCAAGCAACTGAGCAGCAAAAGGAGACTGACCAGGGACAAGGATGAGGACCTAGGCCACTGCATGATGAGAGGCCTCTGGGGACAGAAGGAGATGGTTTTAAGTACCCTAGAAGGTGACCTCAGCAGCATGGTGAGAAGCAGAGTCCCGGTGGGAGGAGGGACCTTGTCACATAAGCAAACCTCAACCTGTTGTTAGACAGACCCTCCCATCTCCCAGCACTTCCTTTTGGAGAAGCCCCAAGAACCCCTCAATAGACCCTGTATGGGGGTGAAGAGAAGGGAGCATGAAAAACATCTTCACAGGCTTACTTTTTGCAGCAGAAGCCAGAAGCTCAACCTGGGAAGACCAGCTCAGCTCCTGACACCTGAGAGCCATGGCAGTCCTTGTGCCAGCCGGTTCTCCATCACCCACTCCACAGCGCCCTCTATTCCCCCACAAGTTGACAAGGGGCATGCCACCCACCAGCAACTTGTGCTCACAGTACCGCCCATGGAACACATTGTCTGACTCGCCCTGAGGAAAGTGCAGACACTCTGCTCCTGTTATCAGCTGAAGATGTGCCCAGCCCTGTCTGGGGAGCTATTCCATGTGGCCACTGGGGGAAGGGGACACAGGGTGTACAAGAACACAGTAAGACAAGTGGGAAGCCCTGGATGAGCACCTGGGGAGAAGATGGCAGGCGTACGGCCAGCCACAGCTTCCTGACGCTTCCTGGCGAAGTCTGAGATCTTCCAAATAAAGACCCCATCATAGGTGGATGCCTCCAACTCCAGAACCTTCTGCTCCAGGTCAGCCATAGCCAAGTCCTTGAGGCCGATGCTCCTCTCCAACTGCTGCACCTGCAGGGCAGAGACCACTTCCCTCTTACAAGAGAGCAGTGACTGCCACTTGCTGTAGGCCCCCAGCCCACCTGCCAATCTTTGGAGGATGGCCACTCTCAGCGGCTCCTAGGGTATCTCTGGATTCAGCTTTTCTAGCATATGCTCTGTCCCCATGAGCCACCCCCTCAGGTGTGAGTGAGGTACATGCTCCAAGTCCACACAGAAGACTCTGGGCCTACATGCACCCAGAAGCTCCACTGTGCTCGGCTCATCGCATCGCTGATACTGCCCTCCAGGCCAGAAAAAAGAGATTTCAGCCACTGGCCCCAACAGCCCCTCTGCCCCTGCAAGGCAAGTCCCTTAGAACATGGGGCTAGAAATGCAGGAGGCGAAAGCCCAAGGCAGGGACACAGAAAGGGTTCCACACTGTGCGAGCTTCAAAGTCCTATGACATCCTGCTGAGCACATACCTTGTTACTCAGGGCCTCAATCGTGTCCTGGTCAAGCCTGTGCTGCCGGCTACAGGCCTCTGCAGTCACAGCCACCCTCTCCACCTCCCGGTTTAGGACACAGACTATGTTTTCGAAGGTGGCTGTCTTCCGCTCTAGGGTCTGGCACCGCTGCAACAGCTCTGTCCCTGCCTGGCTCTGGTCTCCCAGGGGAGTCTGGACCTCCAGGAGTGAGCTCAGCATCAGGGCCAGGTGCTCCCTGAGCCGCTGTGCCTCATGCTCCTGCAGTTCCTCAGCTTCTACCTGTGGGCACAGGGCAGGAACCCCTTGGCACTGTGCTGCGAGGCACCAGCCTAGGCAGCAACAGCCCCATGAGCCTCGCTGCACCAAGGGACAAAGGGTCACCAGGACACAGGAACACCTAGGTGATGGCTAGACTTGGCTCAGTCACTGTTATGCTTCTTGACTACATGACAGCGTTTAATCTGCCACTGTCTGAAAGTCAACATTTCAAAAAGTAAAGCTTCCTATGTAACTTTCTTGCTTTTAAACAGAAAGGAAGCTGGGCACGGGACATGTGCCTGTAGCCCCAGCTACTTGGAAGGCTGAAGCAAGAGGATCTCCTGCCCAGGAGCTCGAAGTCAGCCTAAGCAACATAAAGACCCTGTCTCAAAAAAGAAAAGAAAAAAGAAAGGAAATAAAAACGCCATTACACAATGGGGGAAGGTGGAAAAACAGCTGGAAGTCAGGCTTCCTTAAGAACGCCTTAGTTAGCCAGGTGCTAACTAAGCTACTTGAGAGGATCAGGGTTTGAGGTCAGTTGGGGCGAATAGTTCTCAAGAACCCCATCTCCAAAATAACCAGAGCAAAATAGACTGGAGGTGTGGCTCAAGTGGGAGAGTTGTGCAAAACCCTGAGTTCAAACCCTCCTCCCACCCAAAAAATAAAAAAGCCTTATTTTATAGATTTAACTTTGCAATTAAGTATCTTTCAAACAAAGTATCTGCAACAAAATTTAGAAATGTTACATACATTCAAATATTGAAGTAAAAAGAAACAATGGAACCTATTTGTGTACCCAATTAGAGGCACAGACCCTAGGAGAGCAGAGGCAAGGAAAAGTGAGCAGTTATCTCCTCAAGGAATGAAGTTGTTCAGAACTGTGTTTGCAGCAAAGAAGCACAATCGGTGCTGCACAGAGCTTGAAGCTCAGAGGGCAGCTTCACCTGTAGCATGGTAAATGAGGGCAACCAGACCCGTCCTGAGTGAACTAGAGCATCCCATTAGTGAATGATGGGTGTGTGTTACTCAGACCACTGAAAAGACCCAGAAACAGGGACGGAGGTGGTACCATCATAGCCCCAGTGGTAGTTTCTAAACCCTACCTATTGGGAACTCAGACCTTTAAAATGGAGGCAACAACTGTTCTTTCCACAGTCCTCCAGCAAAGGAGGACACCAGATGGTGAGACACTCTGTCCCTGGACTCTGGATGATGGACCTGCCCCCTTCTACCCATCACACACACCCACACACCCTTTGCAAGCACCCTCCAGCCAAGCACTCCTGGAGAGGACACAACAGAGTTCAGACCTCAAGGGATTCCCACTGTACAGAGAGAGAGGAACAAGAAACAAAGGCATAGCCTAAGACATTAGGGTGAAAATAAGGCAAGGTGTGGAGCAAGTCTCTGTGAATGAAGAAGAGGAATGAACAGGGAATTGCAGAGCCTGAGGAGCCCCTAGAAATCTGGCAAGACAAGGGCCTGAGGTAGAAACAAGTCAGCATCCTTGAGGATAGCCAAGCCAGTTACCAGTGCAGAGGACAGAGGCACTGGAGGGATAATGAATCACCATTCAAGAGTGATGAGAAGCCATGGGAAGGCTGGAATCAATGATGAGCCTCGATCTGACTTCTAATTGTAAACAGACCAGGACAGGCAGAAGTGTGTGGGAGATGCCCATTAGGCACCTGAAGCCTGCATCCAGGAAAGAGATAAGGATGAAGCAGACAGGACAGCGATTGGAGAAGGTAGGAGGAGGATCCATCTGCAGACCGTCAAGTATCTGTCAGCACGGATACAAGTGTGAGGCAAGAAGGGGATCTGACTGATGGGCACTGGGGCTTTGCAGGACAACTGAGAAATGGTGGTGCTTTTTTCTTTTCTAGGTAAGAGAGGAGACTGGGATAGGGGCAGGAGACAGATCAAGGTATGCAGCCGTGGTAGCTCTGAGATGTCCACTAGATATTCAGGGAGGCATCAGGTAGACACAGGCAGTGTTCAAAGTCAGGGCACTATGAGATCTGGAGGATGAGCATGGACAGAGTCTCCTGGACCTGAATTTGGACACCTGAGGGTAGGAAGAGGAGTGCTGCAAGGGAGACCCAGGGGAGACAGCCAGAGAAGACCAGGGCCAGAAGTCAAGTGAAGATGTGGACAGGATGAGGGAAAGGTCCATCCACCTTCCCCCACCTCACTGTAGACCCCTGACTCACCATCTCGGAGCAGCCAATGGCGTGGAATCTGCAGGGGACCCGGTACTTGCCACATGTCCTGATATGGTCCTGAAACTTGAGGGGGTGAAAGATGAGGTCACGGGGGCTGTCATTCCTCAGTTCCCATCCATTTCTCCCCTAATCCACGGACCAGGTCAAATTTACACAAGTGCCCACTAAACCTACCCATGGGCCTCCTTATTCTCATCTGGACAACTCACTTCCAAAGTCACCCATGCATATATGCTACATGCTCTGTCAGTAACTGGGGCAGGCTGATGTTTGAGAGTGCCTGCTGAGAACCCAGCTCATTTTTATAGGGAGGTTTGCGTATAGCAGCCACCCTGCCATCTCTATCAGTCTTGAGGGCATGTGGTGAGGCCCTGGGGCATGGAGCGGGATGTGTGGCTTCAAAGTGAGAAGTGTGTGAGGATGGGCCAGCCCCACAGGAATCAAATACCTGCCAGCACCCAGTGTGTGCCTGGGCAAAGATGGCACAGACTGACCATGGATGAGCACACGGAACCCCAGAAGAGGCCAGTGCCCAGACACTGCAGATAGGACACAGGCAGCATCTTGGATCAGGAAAGGAAGACTATCTTTTGGACAACTGGTGTGAGGAAGGAGCAACAGCCAGAAGAACAAGTTCCTAATGCAAGTCTTTTTCTCTTCAACCCAGTAGGCCAGGTGGCAAGTGGGGCAGGCCTGCACTGTGAGAAAATCAACCTACCAATACCAGAGGAAAGCCCAGGGATCTTCTGTATCTGGGGGACAGAGTCCTCACTATGCATCAAACCCAAGAATGGTTGCAGAAAAGCCCTGGACAGCACCTCAGACAGAGAACCAACACACCGCCAACTCACAGGAGCATGGCTTGGCTTTTCTTTCTTTTTTTCTTTATTTTGGCAGTACTGGGCTTGAACTCAGGGTCTTGAACCACTCCACCAACCCTTTTCTGTGATGGGTTTTTTTCAAGATAGGGTCTCATGAACTATTTGCCTGGGGGCTGGCTTCGAACCATGATCCTCCTGATCTCTGCCTCCTGATTAGCTAGATTAGGCATGAGCCACTGGTGTCCGGCTTTTCTTTTTTTTTTGTCAGTGCTGGGGTTTGAACTCAAGGCCTCATGCTTGCTAGGCAGGCACTCTACCACTAAAGCCACTTCACCAGACTACCAACTGACAAGAAAACAAGTGACTGTAGCCTACATTCTTAGCACACAAAGGCAGAGGACACCAGGTAGGGATGGCACCTGCCCTGTATCAGACAGCCTCACTGAGCTAGAACACCCTGACCCCCTGAAGGGGTGAAAAGCCCACCAAAGCTTCTTTATAATATTCCTTCAGGAGCTAGCCTGAGCCCAATGCTGAGCTCCACAGTCAGCTTGTCCCCAGTGAGGGCCAAGAGACACATCAAAGAAACTGCAAGTGTCCAACCCAGGCCACCTGGATTGGAACGGAGACCCCACCAAGTCTCAAGACTTGGCAGTGACCTATGCCAAGCAGGCAGACAGGCACACAAACTGAAGGGTAAGTGAGGAGAAGGGCTCAGCCGCCCTCTGCCCCTGGTGCTGCCCCCTCCCCAGGCATAGACCTCTGACTGCTAGTTTCTCCCTGGCCTCTAACACCCACAGCAGTCACCACACTCCCTTCTGTTGCTTCAGCCTCTGAGGAGCTAGCCTCCCTGTCCACCAAAGAGGAAAACTTGGGAAAGGACACTTCAAAGCACAGTCCTGTCATTCCTCAAGGGGACATCACCAATTTGAGCTCTTCAGAGGCAAGAAGTATCCCAGAGTAAGGAGGTAAGATGTGCTAGTGCTAAGGCATCAATATTTTATTACTTCCACAACAGGTATGGGGTCCCTCTCCGCATCCAAATCAAATCACTTGCCACCAATACCAATGTCAAAGTCAATACCAACAGGTGCATAACAGCATTTGGAATGTGATGACAACTTTAACATTTAATTTCAGAATAATTAATATGTGATTCAGGCTAGAGGTGTAGCTCAGTGGTACAGTGCTTGCCTAGCATACATGAGGCCCTAAGTTCAATCCCCAGCGCTGTGCACACACACACACACACACACACACACACTCTCTCTCACGCACACGACTTGCCCGAGAGTAACAACGCATGTGGGAGGATAAAGCACTGGCTGGCCCAGAATGTGGTTGCCATACTCTGAGCACGTCACCCCATCTCGTGACCCGAATGGCAGGAAGCTTTGCCACCCTGCCACAGCCCACCCGCACAGTCCTCCAAGGACATGAGGACATGCCTCACCTTCTCCCGAGAGATCTTCTTGCCGCAGCCATCACAGGGCAATGGGAACTTGGGGCAGACCTCATTGTGTGCCTTAAAGAGAAGCAGTCAGGAGCATGAGACAGGGACATCACCACTGAGCCTAGGTAGTGGAGATACACAGTGCTCGGACAGCAGCCGGAGCCCCAGGTGTTGCTGGTATGCTTGTGGCCCCTTCCGACCCTCTCTGGAGACTGTACAACTCTGGGTGGTGTCTTGCAGGCCCCAGAGCTTCAGACTTTAGGACTTTCTTCTTCCTCTGCAGTCTCCAGAGCACATGAGAAAGATAAAGTTACTGTAGAGGACTAAAGAGGGACGCATCGCCATTTTGCAACCCCTGCCTTGAACAAAGAGTTGACAGGAGGACAAAGAATAGCTGTGCTACCTGGGAGGTACAAGGTTGGCAGGACTTTCTGTCATCTAGACTGAGCTGGTCTCTCATGGACGAACAGGGCAGCCAGATCACCTCCTGAGAGACCCTGTTGTGCTACTGCGGAATGCGCAGCCCCCCAGACAGGCTCTGCTCAGGCCTGTCCACATGTCAGAAGAGCACAGTGTCAACACCTGGGGTGTAATCAGCAAACAAAGCAAGAAGGAATCCTGAGTAACAAAGGGCCTGGAAAAAGATGCCCACCCACGGAAGAAGCATTAAAGATTTAGTACTCCAAAGATGTTTCAATGGAACTCAGTGAGGGATACTGTCTAGACTTGATGCCAATAAATGAATGTGAAGAACACTTTCAGACAGTGGGAATGCAGACAAGCCAGCAAGTTGCGTGAGCAGTTACTGTTAAACTTTAGATGTGGTCGCTGTGGTTTAGATAAGTGCCCCCAAATGCCCATGTGATAAAGGACTAGCCCCCAGAGTGGCGGTAAGGGAGGGGATGGAATCTTTAACAGGTGGGTCCTAATGGGAGGTCTTCACGTCCTTAGAGACATGCCCTTGAAGGGGATATTGGGATCCCAGCATTCCTCTTCCTCTCACTTCTCAGCCATGAGGTGAGTAGTCTTACTCTGCCATGTGCTCCAGACTCAAACCTTTTCTCTTTAGAAGGTGATCATCTCGGCAATGGTAATAATGCATTGTAGCTCTGTGCCCTTTAGAAATACATATTGAACTATTTGTGAGTTAAATGGCATTAAGTCAGACTATTTGGGTGCGGGGGAACAACACAGACTGGTACAGCACACAGCCATCCTCTCTACCGGGTACGTGTGAACTTTTCTAAAATAAAATGCTTTTTAAAGCGATTCAGTATTGACTTCACACCCTCGTGGCTCCAGGAAAGGGTTGATGCCGTGAAGACAAGTGTGAAGGAACCAAGCCAGCTCCAACCTCAGGCACTGAACTGCAGCTCAGAGCCCACAGTGTGGCCATGGTCACGCAGGCCACACCCCGCCCAGCGCACCTCCAGGTTCGCATGGCTACAGGATGCCCGGCAGTGCCGGCAGTTCAGGCTCCTCTCAGGGCACTCCTGCTCAGCATGGCGCTCCTTCTCGCCGAGGCGGACCAGGCCTTTACATGCGGGGCACTCGGTCAGCAGGAATGGGCAGAGTCCTTCGTGGCAGCTCTGGCAACAAAAGGAGGAGGTTTCCGCAGAGCACATGCAGACGCTGCGGGCAGCCATGGCATGTGCACGTGGCTTAGTGTCCATGTACCAGCCTGCCCACCCATCTCAGAGCTCACTCTCCATGGCCTCCACAGGTCAGAGGGTGAACAGACACAGCAGCGTGTTCTCCTCTCCCCGCTTCCAGACACCAGGGATACTGACTCTGGCCTGTCCCGGACTGAGCCAATGGGCCACTCCACTGCAGCTGGCCTCTGGGTGAGTGCTGCCCCACCTCTGGAACAGTTGAATGCATGCAGTGCTGGGCCCAATGTCAGCTCCCAATTGAGAAAGCAGCTTGTCTCCAGCTGTGAGGCACACACAGCAGAGCTGTGCCAGAGACCTTCCAGTCCTAGCAATGGTGTGGGGAGCACAGAATGTGCATGGGAGATGCAGAGATGGTGTGGAAACCACTGCTGCTGCTTCTGGCACCAGGAACCCTGGGCACAGTCACCTAGCAAAAGCCAAGGTACTAGCCAGGCCATGGTGTCAGCAGCCAGGCCTGCAGTGGGCTGTCTGAAGTGCACAGGATGTGCATCTGAAGAGATCTATTCTGTGAGAATAGGCCCAGGGACCACAGTGAGAAACGGTGACCACCCAGGAGCCCACTCATTCATCCCAACAACTTGAGAGCTGACAAACAGCGAGGCAGGTCCATGAATGCAAATGCCCCTGACCTCTCAGAACTGATGACTTGGGAGCAGTGGGCATTAACACAGGAATGTCCCGACTATGAGCCAGGAGAGACAGGACAGTGGAGGTGAGGTCAGGCTGGAGAAGGCATCCAAGATGCACTCTAGGGAAGGGAGGAACCCTGAGTTGCTGCTAGGTGAGGTAGGACATTCAGAGCATTTCAGGAAAATCAGGGCAGCATGGAGAAAGACATGGAGAGAGAGTGAGTGAACACAACAGAAACCCAGAATCCAGGCCCCCCCAGGGGTCTGAAGCTGCTCTGGGTAGGGCCTCATAGACCATCCTGAGGACTGCCCTACTGTGAGTGATCTGAACAGAAAGGTGTCAGGATTGGCTGAGTCTTTCAAAGGTCTTCCTGGCTGCCATGCTGCATAAAGACTAGAAGAAAGGTTGGGGAGCCACTGCAGTAACTGACAAGGGGTAAGAGTGAGGGCCACTGGGAAGATGTGACAGAGAGGAGTGGATTCTGGATATGCTTGGGGAGCCAAGTGGATCTACTGCAAACTGAGTGTGGTGTATACCAGTTAGAAGAACAGAAAGGCAGGACCCCAGGCCTTCTGCCTCCAGCCATTGGAGGGATGAGGTCAGCTCACAGAGGACAGGGAGATGCAGAAACCAGCATGGCAAGTCTGAGAGAAGTGGGTTGTGAAGGTAGGCAGAGCAAGAGGATGGTCACTAGAGGAACATGGGATTAAAGGAACTTTCTTGGCTAAGTCTTTTAAATTCTGGTAAAATACACTGAAAACTTATCATCCTAACCACTTTAAGTGCACAGTTCAGCGCATTAAACACATTCAGTGTTGTGTAGCCATCATCACCATCCATCCACAGAACTCTCATCTTCCCACACAGAAACTCTGTCCCCATTAATGCTAGCTCCACATCCCCTGGGAACCTTCATCCCACTGACCCTCTTTATGGACCCACGGAATCCACAAGATTGGTTCTTCTGGACCTGGCTTAGCCTACCAAGCTCAAGGTGAGACTCTGAAGCAGCAGACTTGCTAAGTACCAATAGGTACAACCAGACAAGGGAGAAATTGCTGGTGAGGGACTAGGGGAACACCATGAGAAGCAAGTTCCTGAGCCTGAGAGGTGGTTAAAACAGGGCAGGGAAGACTGAACTGTAGGGTCCCTCATGGTAACTCAGAAACCCCATGAGGATTGGGGTTGTAGCTCAGGGTCCCCTGGATGACTAGGGAAAGGTCACTCTGAGAGGACAAGGGGATGAAGGACCCTCATTCAAGTCTTGGGAAGCAGGTGGAGTTCCAGACAAGCCACTGTATGGGGGACAGTACCTATAAGACTCTCAAGTGACATCCCTTTGTCCAGGGACAGGGGATCTGCCAGAAAATGAGCTGCAGCCTGAGTGCTGGGCCCCTCCACAAGCTTGGAAGCCCAGGGGCCAGGACACCCACACCATGAACAGTCTGTTCAAAGAGGCTGAAACTTCTGAGCTCCTCTGGCCAGTATAGATGTGCTCTGTGTATGTGGCCCCATGGCTCCCTGTGTGTGCAACCACCAGTTACCAAACAAGCAAAGAGTTGCTTCAGGAGCTACTGTAACTTAATAGTTGATGAAGCATAAAAAATAAATCACAGCCAGGTGCCAGTGGCTCATGCATATAATCCTAGCTAATCAGGAGGCAGAGATGAGGAAGATCACAGTTCGAAGCCAAATAATTCACAAGACCCTATCTCAAAAACAAAAACACAAAAAAAGGTTGACAGAATGGCTCAAGTGGTAGAGTGCTTGCCTAGCAAGCGTGAAGCCCTGAGTTCAAACCCCAGGACCACCAAAAAATACCTAAGCTCATGTCTATAATTCTAGCTACTCAGAAGGCAGAGATCAGGAGGATCACAGGTCAAAGCCAGTCCGGGGCAAATAGTTCACAAGAACCTATCTTGAGAATATCCAACACAAAACAGCTCGCACAGTGGCTTAAGTGTTAGAGTGCCTGCCTAGCATGCATGAAGCCCTGAGTTCAAATCCCAGTACACACACACACACACACACACACACACACACACGCCTAAATCTCAAATAAATAAATAAAAGGCTATTTTTTAAAACTTTGAGGGCTGGAAGTGTGGCTGAAGTGGTAGAGTGCCTGCTAACAAAAATGCCAAGCCCTGAGTTAAAACCCCAGTATGACCTAAATAAATAAACTAATAATAAATAAATAAATAAATAAAACTTTATTGAAATAGTGCTGGGGTATAGCTCAGTGATAGTGTACTTGCCTAGCATGCATGAGGTCCTGAGTTCAATCCCTACACCACACACACACAAAAAAAACATAAGTGAAATGATATGACAGCTTGCACTTGCTTTAAAGTAGTCCACAAAGGAGAACATATGGAGGAGCATGTAACTGAAGGCTGGTCACTACTCTAGGCAGTGGGAGCCCAGGAGCCCCAGTACTGACCTGTTCCAGCCCAAACTTGCCATGTGTTTGAAATTTCAGTGGTACAGCAAGTGCTTAGCATATGTGAGGCCCTAGGTTCGTGCCCTGCACTGATGCTTGAGATTTCTACCTAAATTCAGCACTGTGGGCAGCAAGTATAACTGCACCACCACACTCAGTCTCCTCTCCAACCCCAGGAGACATGACTCCAAGACATCAGTACTTATTCAACCAAAACTTAAGTTTAACATTTTAAGCAAATACAGTTGCTATAATTTGGAATTTCCCAAGCACACTGGCTGTGACAGCTCTCCACTGCTATGTGCTTACTTGCACCTGTCTGGTCCTCAGTGCCACCTGCTGTCAGCCTTACAGCCCAGAAGCTGGCTGTGGAACCCATATTACTAGAGGCTCTTAGCAGGTAATCTAGAGACATTTTAGTCTCAACTGGGGCTTTAAAATCATCCCATTCTTCGAAGGAAAGGCATCATCACAAAGGAAAAACAAAATCAAAGGCTAAATGGAATTTTTCTCCATTATTCCAAACTTTTCAATTTGGACTATCAAGAAAAAAGTAAAGCTTTAGCCTCAGTATTGGTTTTCATAGTAATGGCCAAGCAGTAAACAGATGTGGGCTGTCAAGAAGAGAGTCAGGAACTCTGTAGAGGTGGGGCTGACTACTATGCATTTTCTGTCCCAGCCTGTGACATTTACCACCAGTGAGGCTTTATCAGTATAATCACACAATAGCAGAGCTGTCCCAGAGCAGTGTCTGCCCCTCCCATGTGACCAAACCTGACTCCTCTTAGGGACTTTCCAGAGTTCTCAAAGGGCACAGCCAGGGACTTTCCACCCTGCATGCTTACAGGACTGCATGGCGCCAAGCCCATGGCCTGGCTGCAGTTCCTGGCCTTCAGCCAGAGATGCACACAGCTACTGACCTCAATTACCACAGGCCTCGAGGAGTTACAGACCCTAGAGGAATCCAGAGACCAATATTCCACCTGCCCCCTGAAGGACAGGAAGGCATATAGTACCCCCACATTGCCCCCTGTACTCGCCCAGGAGGAAGCCTGAGCCAGTCACTTCCCCAGGGGCCATCTCCTTCACAGTTAGCACCAAGGGCTGTGGCCCCTGACCATGCTAGGAAAGAGGATGTAGCTCTTCATTTACCTGGGACAGTCAAAGTTGCTCTCCAGAGCCTGAGACCACAAAGCAGAATAAGTCAACAAGGGAAGTATGGCCAGGCACACACACACAGGAGCAGGACAGGAGAACTGGAGATTAGAATTCCAATCCCCCCAAGGTTCATCTCAATATAAGACTTCCATGCCCACTGCCTGGGCACAAAGACATCTGTCTCCATGGGCCTTGAGCCAGCAATCCTGGCCTAGGAGGTCCTCTAAGCATAGAAAGCAAGGTTCTGAGCAAACAGTACTTTACAGCCCTACCACTATACAGCTGGATGGGAATGGCATCAAGGTCCCTTCCTACTTCCAGATCACCCACTGACCACAGCCCCCACCCAGCCCCCACTATTCTACTGTCTGTTTGGAACTGATGACTCTAGGGAACAGTCTATAGGGAACTTACATGAGTCAACTCCTACAGAACTTGTCCTTCTATGACTGGCTTATTCATTAGCATGATGTCATTAAGAACCACCTCTGCTGTAGCAGGTGTCAGACTCCCCTTCCTGCAGCGTGGATGGACCCCTGCTGTTTACCCAGCACATGCGTAAACAGTGTGACTCTCTAGGTCATTTCCATCTTTTGACCACTGTGAATAGTGCTACTGCTGCAGCTATTCCTATACAAGTGCCTGTTCAAGATAAACTTTTTGAAGGTCATTTTATTAAGAGAAGAAAAAATGAATGCTTTGGTGGACCAGAGACCTGGACTAGCCACTTGGCCTCTATGCTGCAGGTTTAGTTGCAGATGCCTAAAAGTGATGTGAGGTGCACATTGACATCACCAGTATGCCAGTGCAGGACACAAGCCAGCCAAAGCTGGCACAGAGACAAAGCATATGAAGTCAGGCACCAGTCAGGCACCTCTGTCACTGGCCAAAAGCCTCTCTGTGACCACAGATGAATGCAATTTCCAGTGTCAACACGATTCACAATAAGAATCCCTGCGGACACAAGACACCTGACATAGAACCCCATGAAGCTTGGAAGCTACAGTTTCCATTGCAGAGCTGATCTGCCCTCCATTCCTGGACACCTGCTGCTAAACTGATTCAGTGCTTCAGGGCCAGCACAGCACCCCCTGGTTCGCAGCCATGCAGCACAGGTCTGCAGCTTGCACAACAGCCATGCCCCTGTGGACAGACTAGGAAACTAAGGCACAGGGAAGGGAGGCACCAAGCTCTATGGTGAGGCCTGTGTTGCACCATTTGCAGCTGTACCTCTTCCTCTACATAAACAGACAGGCCAGTCCCAATAAGAGCAGAATGCAGCTCTGATTAGAATTGCTCTGAGGAGTGGACTCTCCACTATGGGGCTTCAGCCACCAAGCCACCTGCAGGCTGAGTGGCCCATACCAATGTAGAGATGCTTCTTTACCTCGTATTCTTTCAGGGTCCCCTTCCAAGTGCACCCATCATTGGAGCAGACAGCCGGCAGGCTCTCCACCTCCCTGCGGGCGGCATTATCTGGGAAGGCCTGGGAAGAGCAATGTCCCTGGGTTAAACATCCTCCCAGCATCCCACTGACCACAAAATGTCACCCAAGGCCTCATCCACATCAACCCATGCCACTTTCCTAGGCCAGCTTGACAAGAGGAGGATGACCCTGAGGACACCCTCACACCAACTCTACAATTTCTACAAACCCTAAGCAATCGCATGTTTACTCAAGGACAACTTCTACAGTATTCGCACGTCTGTTAAGAGGCAAGTTCTAGCTTTGCCATCAGTGTGAACTACTAAAGGAAACTCCAAAGCATTTTTTGCTCATTTTGACATTTCCAGCTTCAAGATATTGTACTTACCGAACTGCTTTCTAAAATAGAAATGCCTTCTTCATATATGCCCTCATGGACACAGGCAGCACAGTTCTGAGGCCCAGAGCTAGCAGAAACAGAGGAGAAAAAAGTCCCACTGTAAAACCTGCTACAAAGAGTAGTCCACAAACCAACTCCACACCACAACACAAATTCTTAACCTTTCTCATCTTTGATGAAACCAAAAAGCATACATGAATTGTACAATATTTAAAAGGGTTCATAAAGATAAGAAAACTTAAATACTGAAAAGGGTATGGTGAGGCTTGAACTTGCAATAAGTCATTTCTTTTCTTTCTTTTTTTTTTTTTTTAACCAGTGTTAGGGATTGAACTGCCATCAGTGTGAACTACTAAAGGAAACTCCAAGCATTTTTTGCTCATTTTGACATTTCCAGCTTCAAGATATTGTACTTACCGAACTGCTTTCTAAATAGAAATGCCTTCTTCATATATGCCCTCATGGACACAGCAGCACAGTTCTGAGGCCCAAGCTAGCAGAAACAGAGGAGAAAAGTCCCCACTGTAAAACCTGCTACAAAGAGTACACAACCAACCCACACCACAACACAAATTCTTAACCTTTCTCATCTTTGATGAAACCAAAAAAGCATACATGAATTGTACAATATTTAAAAGGTTCATAAAGATAAGAAAACTTAAATACTGAAAAGGGTATGGTGAGGCTTGAACTTGCAATAAGTCATTTCTTTTCTTTCTTTTTTTTTTTTTTAACCAGTGTTAGGGATTGAACTCACCTAGGCAAGCATTGTACATTGGGCTACCTCCGGCCCCATTCCTTCCATTTGTCAACAAGGCACTCGCTCTCTGAGAAACACATCACCCAAAGACACACTCTAGAAACACCGCACAGGCTCTGCTGCTGATGGGAAGGCAGTTCACCTTCTCATAGCAGTGCACAGCCAGTGTCCACAGAACAGCCACCACACAGGCGGCTCACCTGACCACTTAGAGCAGACTGGGGAGCCATAAGCCTCCTGTTAATTTCTAGTGCTGCTGGGTGCTGGTGGCTCACGCCTATAACTCTAGCTACTCAGGAGGCAGAGATGAGGAGGATCTCAGTTTGAAGCCAGCCAGGGGCAAATAATTTGGGAGACCCTATCTGGAAAAAAACCCATCATAAAAAAGGGCTGATGGAGTGGTCAAGTGGTAAAAAACATTTCTAGTGCTACATTACCAAGGAAGAAACAGTTGAAATTACCCCTAATGATACATTGTAATTTAACCCCAGTTTTTCAAAGATAGTATTTCAATACATAATCAGTATTTTTTTTTGGCAGTACTTGAATTTGAACTCAGAGCTTCATGCTTGCTAGGTAGTCACTATACCACTTGAGCCATTCCACCAGCCAGTAACCAATATTTTTAAATGATTAATTTACATTGTTGGTTTACGCTAAGCCTCCAGAATCCACAGAGGGTTTAAGACCTGGAACCACCATACTAATAGGGCACCTCTAATGACAGCACCACCTGCCTGCCCCCACCCAACCAGGCAGCTGGCCATGCGCACCTGAGGATGCTGGTCAGACAGAAAGAGCAGTAGCGATGGCCACACTGGGCCTGGAAGGGCCTCCGCAGGACATTTCTGCAGGCCGAGCACAGGTACTTGGCCTCCAGCTTGGTCCCCAGGAGGGTCTTGGAGAAGCCAGGTTGCAGCAGGTCTAGAGAGCCAGGGGGGGTCACACTTGCTGCAGCCATGAGAGCTGTAACCCCCACACACCACGAAGCCCTAAGGAAGAATACAGACTATGTCATATGTCAACTGCAGAACAACCTCAGGAGGGAAATGAAGGCTGTGGCTGTAGAGCCTGGTGAGGGGCCTGGGCTACTACACTGGCTTGTGAGAGAGGATTCAAGAAACAGGATTTCAGAGCTCTGAGGAATCTTGAAGACAGGCTAGTCTAATTTCCTGCTACAAATGTGTGAAGAGAGGTTCAGCAAGGTGGCAGACACATGCCAACAGCAATGCTGACTCACCTGTGGGTATGACTGACTGGGAGGCCTCCTGCTAATACTAATGGTCAATGTCCTCCACATTGCGCCCACAGCTATACAATAAACATCTTTTGGGATGGTGGCTCGCTTCGAAAACATACCACAATAATAGTGAGACAGCAAGTCTCCACCTACCAGTTCCTTGGGTCCTAGACAGCACCCAAGAGACGGCCATACCTGGGCAGGGGATGCAGTCAGCTTGGTAGCAGACACTGAGCTCCCCATTTCCTATCAGATCCCCACACACACACTCTACACTAAGCACAGAGCCTACAAAGCCCCCTGAATGACAACCCAGCCCTGGCGCCTGCCATCTCCACCAAGGTGCTTCACTTGGATCGCCCCATGCCTGGTGCCCATCCTGCTGCCCCTTCTAAGCCTTAACAGCTGCACCTGCAGAGCTGCCTCCACCCACCCCATCCCACTTTTCTTCTCCCTGAACTATGGCTCTTCCTCAGCCTAAGGCTCCCTCCCTAGCCCTCCTGTGCTGCAATCTCCACTGGGCTCCTTCTTGACCTTCAGAGTAAACATACAGCAGGCTTCCCTCCTCCCTGTGCACCAGAGGAAAAGAATTCTTCTCAGGACTGAAGCTGAGGTTGATGCTGATGAGCAAGAATGCCAAGTTGACCCGCAGATCAGGCAGAGAGAAAGCAAGGAGCCACCCAGCAAGCCAGGCATTCTCACAGGTGCTAAGCCTGACTCAGATCCCAACAGCAATATGAGCATGCCTCTCTAGAGTGCCAGAGCTCCTCTACAGGCGAAAAGGGGGCAGAGAGGACAACCAACTGCGAATCTCCAACTCATGGCCTTGGGTCTTTCTCACGCCAACATTTTCAGAAGGGGGCTGGGCACTCACTTGTAATACACAAAAACATATCTCAGAGCTCCTGGCTAAAGTGAGGTTAGGTTAGTGCATGTGTGCTGAGCCCACAGGACATGAGAACTTCCATGTTACAGTCACCCGGGAGAACAGACATGAACCTGAAACACAACTGGACAGCAGCATGGCGTGGAGAGGGCCTTCCCACGTTGCAGAATAAGGCCTCTAATGAGAGGCCAGTTTCTGCAGTCTTGCATCTGGTACTGACGGGGTGGGGCTAACACCCAGAGGCATGCTGCTCCTTAGTGATGACCTCCTCACCATATTCACCTTCCCCAAAGCAGCCTAAACGCTAGCACTGGATTCCATAACCACACTCTGTTCCTGGCCAGGGCTCCTCAGAGTCTGATAAGAAGGGCATAGAAACCAAGCTGTCTCTCACACAGAAGAGCAAGTTTGTTTTGCTGAGGACAAGGGGGTAGCTAAGGGGACTCTCAGTACCACCCATGACCAAGGAAGGAGCTCAGTCCCAGAAGGTGACTCCAGGGCACGTCCTGAGAACACAGAGCAGGAAGGAGCTCTCCCTAGGGAGAGGCCCTGAGGGGCAGGGGAGGTGGAGGGGCTGCAAGTAGCATGGAGCAGTGGTGGCCTGAGTGTCCTCCCTCTAGACAAAACCTCAGTCATTTCAACTATGGAATCACCTCCTGGAACCATTCCAACCCTGAAGTGGCAGATAAGGCTTCCTTCTACAGAAATGACAGTAGCACTGACTGCTCTGTACCCAGCCAGGGTCTTGCTGCTTCATTTGAATCTGACTGCTGCCCTCGGCTCAGCAGCAGGCCTACCAACCTACTTGCCCAGCTGTCTTCCCAAGGTCCAAATCACTAAAGAGGGTCCTGGCAGCCCTCAAAGGCCCTGTCCAGCAGTCAGAGCACTGGTTGGAAGGCTGAAGAGTGGAAAGCAGTGCTGCTGTGTAGCCTGATAAGTGTGGGGCACTTGGTCCCTGGACTTGCCTGAGAAAATGACAGACCTCTCACAGCAGGCCCTGTTACTGGCCAGCCTCAGATGCGCCCAAGAGGCCAAATGCTGTTAAGGCCCTTCTTTTCCTCTTCCCTGGATGCCTTCCCAGAAAGTGGGCTTCTCTATCTCAGGGCCACTTGCTGTGTGCCAAGGATTCACCAAACCCAGGAAGCTCCTGAGTCTAATTCCAATTGGCCCCAGTCTCTGGTTGATCCTGACAGCTCTGCCTCCCACAGCAGCGGCCCTCTTGCTGCCCTGCCCTCTGCTCTCTTTCACACCCACACCAAACAGAACCCCACACCATATATCTCACACCAGGGAAAGTCCATCTGCTATCATCTGTTCTGTTCATTCAACAAATGCTTTCAGACCCTCAGGTGCCAGCATGGCTGGTCCTTGGCATCTCTGAAGGTGGTCAGTCCAGGAATGAGAGTCCCACTGGAACAAAGACCAAGAACCTTCAGAGAGCTCATATCACACTTTTCTGTAATGTTCACAGGTATCAAAAAGAGGAAAGAAATGTCACCTACAAACCCTGAAAAGAGGCAACTACAAAGAACTCCTGAACAGAAAGCACTTTAACTCAGAAAAACTCAAGGCCCCAGGACAAGCACCTACACTACAAGGAGCATGTCCTCTCCTGCTGCCCTTGGAAACACATTCTACATATCTTTTCCTTGAGTGGTGCACTGACCCTCAGATCTGTAGGGCCATAATCCTCTGACAAGAAGCACAGTGATTTCCAAGCCATTAGGTAACAACTCCAGAAGGGGACCTGCATAGGGCAGTGCCTAAGAGCTGCTTTCACTGTCCTAGGCTAGTCTGATACTGGAGCACTGCAACAAGACTGTTGGTCTGCCTGCCAGACATGTGGCCCACTTTCAATCAATACTTCTGACTTTGTAATTTAATGATATCTATATCTGTATGGCACTTCAGAATTCACACCTCCTAAGCAGGTAACAGAGGGGATGCTGGAATTTTGCATGCCAAGGGTCCTAGGTAAGAACGCATACCTGCCTGTCTCTATCTTTCTGAGTGGATGGGCTCTCTTCATAGTAACATGGGTATTCCTGCTCTGATTGGTGGCAGATCTAAACAAATGTTCCAGAAGGGTCTGTGCAGTGGTGCGTGCCTGTAATATTAGTTGTTGAGAGGCACAGGAAGGAGGATAGCTTCAGGCCAGCCTGAGCAGCACAGTGAAATACCATCTCAAAAGCAGATCAAAACAAAACAACAAATGTTCCAGAGAGCTCTCAATGTACCTACACTATCCAGGGTGGGCGGAGCCAGGAGCCAGGAGCCAGGAGCCTGCTTACCTTTATGCAGGCCCAGGGCTGGAGGGGTGGCTCAAGTGGTAGAGTGCTTGCCAGGCAAGCTTGAAGCCCTGAGTTCAAACCCCAGTACCACCAAAAAAAAAAAAAAAAAAGAAAGAAAGAGTGTGTGGACCTTTATGCAGGCCCACACACTCAGTCCCTGGTTTATAAGTGTTACATTGTGACTTGCTGCATATATCACACCATGCTTACTCTTCATGACTGGTGTTCTGAGTTTTCTGTTTTCTTTCTTTTTTTCTGGTTAAAAGCCACTCAATTGATTTCATGAACCACTAATGGTTTAAAAGCACTGCTGAGCCACTTAAGATGGAGGAATTTTCTATTTTAAATACCACTAGTTTAAAATACATGCACACATTTTTTTCTGTGTGTGTGTGTGATACTGGGGTTTGAACTCAGGGCCTACACCTTGAGCCACTCCACCAGCCCTTTTCTGTGATAGTTTTTTCCAGACAGGGTCTCACAAACTATTTGCTGAGGTTGGCTTTGAACCACAATCCTCCTGATCTCTGCCTCCTGAGTAGCTAGGATTGCAGGCGTGAACCACCAGTGCCCAGCACCCACATATTCTTACAAGCTAATTTAGAGGTTCTAGCAGTGGAGCACAGCTATCCATATACTCTTGACAAAAGAATGGTCCCTTCTATCAGGAAAGGTTGTCCTCTCCAACCAAGCATACAGATCAGGAGTGATACACATGGAGTGGCAAAGGAGGAAGGAGGCACTCACCTATCCAGCTGGATCAGTGGGGTGGCAGATGTCATAACCAGATCACCCTAACATCTAAAAGTAACATTCTTTAGGTTAAAACCCTTTTCTATATTTGTTATGTTAAATAAAAGTAAATAATTGACTGTAAAATGCAAAGAAATCCATGATTGCAGCCATGGTTGTATATGAACAGAGCACAATGGTAAAACAGAAACCTGAAGATCTGCCTAGCAAGTACAAGGCCCTGAGTTCAAACCCCGGTACCACCAAAAAAAAAAAAAGAAAGAAACCTGAAGAAGCTGCACTGGGGCAGGAGGATTCAGGGTGATCTTCCTCTTCTGTTTCCCGCGGTATCTCTCAGAGGAGACTCTTCCTTTCCAGTAGTCATTCCTTAAACCCGCTGGGTGCTGGAGACACTTTCCCACCAACTGACCACACCCTAATCCATCAATCTGCACTCCTGTCAGACATAGAATACAAAAATGGAGGGGAGGTGGAACAGATAATATATACACATGTAAGTAAATGTAAAAGCAATAAAAGAAGAAGAAAAAAAAAAACCACAAAAATGGTGTTTTTTTTCCCTAGAGTGGTAAAAAAGGGAAAGAGCTCTGCATTTGTCCTGCTTCCAGACCCCCGTCAGCAATCTCATGGACACCGCCTCACTATCAGTGACCTGGAGTGGCAGACATCGCTTTTTTTTTTTTTTTTTTTGGTGGAACTGGGGTTTGAAGCAGGTGGTCTACTGCTGGAGCCACCTGCAGTTCATTTTGCTGTAATTATTTCAGAGATGGGGGGTCTCAAAAACTATTTGCCCAGGCTACTGCTGTTTTAGACAAGAAGGAACAACTCTGAAATTGGAGTCATTACTGGCATCAAGCAGAAGAAGGTCAAAGGCCTCTGAGGTCCCACCAAAATGCCCATACTGCACTCTGGGGTTTTCAGTATTGAAAAGCCTCCTTAACCTCGGATTTGAGTCTCACTTATAAGTACATCTTTTAAGGAATGTACTGAGAGTCATTACAAACACAACAGTGCTGGGAAAAAACAGAACAAAACCCACAGCTAAACCTGGATGTAGAAGACTCACCTGCTCTAAGCAGAGTAACTAGTAGCACACCTGTCAGAGCTCCTCTGGCTCCAACACAGGATCTGAGCAACCTGGCCTGCATGGGCTGCCATATGTAATCATATAAGGCACAGAGCAGGTGGGAGGGATCGCAACTGACCATCACAACCGCTAGCATCAGACATGCACATGAACATGTGTGAGGGTCCAATGGCCTGAACTACTCCCACCTTTTGTGCATACCAAGGAACGAAAGATCAGGTGTTTTTAGCATCCAACCTATAACTAAAACACAGTGGCCCTATAGGTTCCAGGTCAGTTTTTCTGTAAAAATCCTGATGCCATCAGTCAGTTAAGAACTTGACAACCAGGATGGAGGTGTGTCTGAAGTGATAGCAGGCCTGTCCTAGCAAGCACAAGATGGTGAGTTCAAACCCCAGTACCCCTTTTAAAAAAAAAAAAAAAAGTGATCAAAAGCCAGAATTTTAGCTGGGCACCAGTGACTCACACCTGTAATCCTAGCCACTCAGGAGGCAGCGATCAGGAGAATCAAGATTCAAAGTCAGCCTGGGAAAAGTTTGCAAGACCCTTTCTTGAAAAAATCCATCACAAAAAAAGAGCTGGTGGAGTGGCTCAAGGTGTAGGCCCTGAGTTCAAACCCCAGTACCATAAAAAAAAAAAAAACAACCAACATCCACTCACAGTAACATATCCTGTTCAAGTATGTGTTCTCAGACAGGCATCTCTCATTTGTTCTAGATGTAAACTTCATACAACACTTGTACCAGACACAAACAGTATTTAGGAAATCATTCTAGTCATACGAAATACATGGACAGGCAAAACAAATCTGTCAGAGAAGTTGAGTAGCTGTAATCTTTTTTTTTTTTTTCAATGTAGGCAAGGGACAGGAAGAGGCTTTCCAGAGTGCTTGAACAATGTGTATATAAACAAAAACACATGTGGCTATACACTTAGCATATGTGAATAAAAGCACAAACAGTTTTTTTACTTCCAAAGACTAGAAAGGACAGTAAAATCCCTAATTACTGTATATCTATGCCTAGTTCTCCAAAACAATCCAAGCTCCTAATGTTAAAAACATCAGAAAGCCAGGCTCCAGTGGTTCATGCCTGTAATCCTTGCCACTCAGGAAACAGGAGGATCACGGTTCGAAGCCAGCCTGGGCAAACAGTTTGCAAGACCCTATCTTGAAAAAACCCATCACAAAAAAGGACTGGTGGAGTGACTCAAGATGTAGGCCCTAAGTCCAAGCCCCAGTACAGCAAAAAATAAGCCCCAGTACAGCAAAAAATAAAACAAAACAAAACACAGA